ATTTATCCATGTTGTGTTTTGTATTTATTTTGTTCCACTTCCCCTTTTTCCCAATTTGTTCAATATATTTTTGGTTTTCTTTGACAGCTTTTCTGTGTCTGGTCTCATCATTCACACCACCTGGGCTCCATTCTGTGCATCAGTCAGTTACATCCACCCGCTGCATATATAGCTGGGCTGGTGCTTTTTCGTTTTTATGGGCCGATGTTTTGTTGTTTGTTTGTTTTGGGGTCTTTTTTGTAACGGCATAAACAATGAAAGGTGGTGGGTTGGCTAATTGGTCATGATCGACTCTGGGCTGGATAGATTACAGCCGATGAGGTCGACCTTTGAAGTTTCGCATTGAGCTGAAAAGGAACAGTTTGTCCCGGACTTCAGCTGGAATAGAAAAAGACACAAAGCTGCAGTTATTGTGTCTTTGCGCTGCAGCTGCCTCCTCTCCTCTCATCCTCTCCTGTTTCTACTTCAATCATGAAACTGATCAATGATCAGCTGATCGGCTTTTCTCTCGTTTGTTTATCGCTCACTTTGTGCCAGAAAGAGGAAACCAGCCGATGTCACGTTAAACAACAGCAGCACGTTTAAGCTGATCAGCTGTTGTTGGAATTTATTTAATATTAATTTCTAGTATCAGCTGATGTTTGCTGGAGCCACAGCTGCTCACAAATGTTTTGTCTCACTCTCATTTCTTCTTGTTGCGTGTTTAAGCTCTACTTGGAACCTTGTTAAGATCCAACCATGCAAAATCTGATCTATTTATTAATGTTTTTGTTGCCATTTTTCAAGTGGTCTTTAATGTTTGATCAGGACTGAATCAAATTTGATGTGTAACAGCGCCATGTTGTGGCCAAAGAGAGTAGAAAAGAACTACCATTGATGATCAGGTGAAACAGAAGTTAAAGACACTAAAAATGAATTAAGCATTTCTTTTATTACCACGATGGTCAAAGGGGAAGAAGAGTGAGCTATCAGCTGGGCAGTGGTGGATAAAATTTGGCCAGTTTTAACCCAAAGCCCACAACACAAACTCACATACCTGTAAGAATGACACAAACAAACCTAAACAACTGTGCAAAACGGCACCAATAAAAAGGTCAAAAAAAAAAATTTGACACAAACCTGTAAATAAATAAAATCTGTAAAATATATACATCTTTTAGGCTTTTCCAGAAAGTTAAAAAATAAAAGAAGCGTTGGCTTAAAATAGGCTGGTTGCCAATAAGTGTTATGAAACTGAGTTCAGATTCACTCTGCAGAGGCGACAGATGTGTCACAGTCCAAACACAGTGTGAGTCCGAAGAAGCTTTTCTCTGAGTGAACTGCTGCGTCTGAGGTTGTAAGTGAGTAATTATATATCAGAAATAATAATATATTTAAAAACAGCAACAACAACAAAACCCACTAGTATGTATTGTAAGTGTCACCTGGCAGTTGCTGCCAGGTGATTGGCAGAGTGGGTGCGTGGGGTGAGGTCGGCGCTCTTCTGTGGAAAAACCCAGAGGCGATTAACGCTCTCTGGTGCGAGTGGGTGTACTGTTCGGTGAGAGACTTTTGCCATTTCGTTTGGATCACTTATTATTGTAGGTGCCGATTTTTAATGCGTGTTGTTGGACTTTTTTAGTGTGACCACGAGTTTTAATGGAGGAATTGATCGACCGCGCGCAGGGAAACCGATCGTTGGTATATTTGTTCAAGGTCAAGGTCAAGGTAACTTTATTTATACCCAAAGGCAAGGTAAATTTGCTTTACAGAAAAATGACAGCATTTGGCATCCCTTTAAAAACACACATACCTAGTAAATATATAAAGCTCACTGTGGCACATATGTAGTAGTTTTGATATTTCGAATCAAAAACAGTTCTTATTTAATTCAGTGACAGCAACGGGGACAAAGCTATTTTTATAACACTTTGTCCTACATCTCGGAAATAGAAACCTCCGTCCTGAGGGAAGAAGCTGAAATTCACCCCTTAGAGGATGGGAGCCATTTTTAAGGATTGATAAAGCCATCCTCTGTACCTGCTCAGAGTACAGGGAGGCTAAACAAGACTGTGGCTATCAGACGACTGGACCATCTCACTATCTGATTTAGAGAGCTTTTCTCTGTGACAGAGGTCTGACCGAACCATGCCACCAAACAAAAGGATAAAACAGACTCAATAAAAGAACGAGAAAACAAAGTTAAAATTTTTTGGTCAATGTGGAAGTGAACAAGTTTCCTAAGACAATAAAGGTGCTGGTGACCCTTTTTACAAACTGATTTGCAATTTTGATCAAAGTTCAGTTTTTCATTTATTATGGTCCCAAGATATTTATATGATTGTACTTGCTCTATTTTCTGACCTTTAATTAAAGTGACTCCGTGCCCATTTTGTTGTTTCCTAAAATCAATCACCATATCTATCTGTTTGTTTTAGTTCTGTGATTTTTGAATGGTTTAATAAAACGGATATTTTATTTGGTAACATTTTAAACCATAATGTTGTTTTTCAGCTGTTGTTGTGCTGCTTCTGTCCTTTTGTCGTTCTTTTCATCCATCCATCCATCCGCTTCCGCTTATCCTTTTCAGGGTCGCGGGGGGCGCTGGAGCCTATCCCAGCTGTCATAGAGGGCGAGAGGCGGGGTCCACCCTGGACAGGTCGCCAGTCTGTCGCAGGGCCAACACACAGGGACAGACAACCATTCACACTCACATTCATTCACACATTCACACCTAGTGGCAATTTGGATTATCCAATTAACCTATCCTCACAAGCTGCATGTCTTTGGACGGTGGGAGGATTGATTTGTAATTTTGTTTTGGTCCGTGCAGCCTTAAAGGCGGTTAATGCTTGAGAGTGAGCTGTGTGAGGACTAACCCTCTCTTTTTGTTTGTGCCACTTCCTTTAACATCAACACATAGCGCTGATTCCCAGCTGTGCTGAGACCTGGATTGTTTGCAGTCTCGTGCGGCGGGGATATCAGCAGGATGTGTTGTAAGTGCCGTCTGGAAATAACTGGGAAAACTATGTTTAATTAATTATCAATTATTTCTTTGCCCCTTTTATCCGGTACCTTTGTCCTCGGTTACAGTATTTTTCCCTCATGCGCGGTATTTGCGCAGAGGTGGAGCCGCGCATGGACTCAGACTGACTGGACGCAACATTGAGCAGTTGCACCCTCTTGTGGCTGAAGTTGGTATTACACGAAAGTGCCCTTCCAACGCAATGAATTCGCTTCAAATCTCAAAAAGCCAAATCTGATGAGCTGCAATCTCACTCACACTGAGCACCTTTAAACATATGTTGGTATAATATGACATGCCAGCATGGTTTTGCACTCTTACACCTCTGAGTTAAATTTATTTTCTAATTAGTCATTTTATTTGACTTTTTTTAGTTTCAGTTAATTTCTAGAGTGGATTTTATTTGAAACTGTTTAGTTTTACTTCAGTTTTTATTAGTTTCAGTCTCTGTGGTCATTACTGTAAGGAGGGCATATATCAGAGGCAAAATAAGGAAAACCAGTGCAGGTGTTATACTATGCTACAATATTCAAAATACTTTATTTTAGTTACTTTTAGTAGTAGTTGTTTTGTAGTTGTTGGGTCATTGGATGGTTCAGCACAAAGACAGTTACATCTGCAAACTCAGAGACGAGTATTGGAAGCGATTTGTGACAGAAGGACAGCAGCAAGAGTGAAGGGGAAGTCATTTAGTAATGAAACAGGAAACGGCTTACCTCAATTATATGGATAAGATCAAGACAGACAACTGGTGCTTAAGCAGATTTCTTTACTGAAACGAACACATGACTTTTTACAAAATGTTTCAATGATAATCTGGAAGTATTTTCATATTTTCCTTCAAGAGGAGACGACGAGAGTGGACCGGTCTCTCCTGTGTCGACAGGTAACATCTTAAAATGACATTTACACAGAACAGCTTTTACAAAACAACAACAAAATAGAATTGAAAGAAATTCCCGTCCCCACTCGCTCTCGTAAAACTCTTTTGATAGTTTCTGAATAAAGTAAATTCATTCTGCACCGGCCTGATGGAGACGGACTCTGTGACGCCCGAGGCTCGGCCAGGAGGAGGAGGGGAGCACACAATCCATAAGACATCTTATAAATGTACAATTAACATTCTTAAACATTAACAAATTTAGCACACAGCTGTTCAAATGTCCTCGCAAATTTAAATAAAAGTGCAAAGCACAGTTTTCAGTAGGAGAGAGAGGAAAAAAAAGCGCATTAAAAATCCAAACGGACTCTTTAAAATTCATCTCTATAGTGTAGAAAAAATAGAACATACATCGGCAACCTCGACGGCTGCAGGGTCACTGCAGACTCTTATTAACGCAGAGGCTGCTTTCTCAAAGCACCTTTAATAAATAGGCAGGTAAAAAGATGAAAAAGCGAATTTCAGTTCTGCTAAATGTGAAGGAATGCAGTTAATGACAAGGAGGCAATTTCAGTGAGTTAGATGGCACCGCTCCCAAAGACACATTTCAGTTTCTGTATCCTGCAGCCGGGAATGCTGGGAAAAGTTACAGGGAGATTCTTTCAAACAGCATCAAAGTAAAATCCTCTGAAATATTACACATATTAGTCTTTTCCACATACAAACTTTACGTGGTCGTGTTGCTCAAGTATATTTATTGACAAATTTAAGCATTGAATTTATTTTCTTGCCACCTGTACTGGGACGTCCTCTCGCCCTTATTATAAGAAGCTCAGCTGCTACGGTTCATCTTGTTTTCCCTTCCTGACGCCTTCACAGGTCCTTGTTGTACCAAATATCAGTGCGCTGCTCCTCCACAGAGGATGTCACCCTGCTGACAGACTCCAGCTTTGCTGTTGGACTGCAGCTGCAAGCTGAAGGGACACCAGAACCAGTAGGTGTACTGGTTCATGTGCCACTACATCAAGCTGACTGAGGATGTTAGAGCTGAACGAGGACTACCAGCTGCAGTCCAATGAAACCAAAGTCCACCCACAGGAAGAGGCTCTTTGGAGAATCAACAGACTTCACTGATGTGTTATTTATTTGTCCCCAAGTACTTGTAGTGGAAAAGATTTAGTTTACTGCTGTTACTGAACTCGAAACGCCATAAAAATGCTCACTGTGTCTAAAACCCGTCAGATTAGGAGTCGTCTGATCAGAGTAGAAATACAGCTTATTGACAGATTTAAGGCAAAGTTTTGTTTTTAAGTACTGATGAAGTCTCGGTACAGAAACTCGTTCCAGCTGCACTACAGATAAACACTGAGGTTGCTGTTTAAAATAATCTCCTTGTAACAAGATCAGAGTGTCGTTGGACTGAACACCAGTCCAGATGTGCTGGAAGGTTTGCCAGTGAGAGTAACTGTGTAACCTGCACTGTGGCTTAATAGACTCCTGTTTCTATTGGGTTAAAGGGGGGTGGGGTTGGGGATTTTTCCAAATGTCATCATTGGGAAATTTAATTCTCCAACTCTGCAAATCATTTACATCTGTGGATGCCAAATGGAAGAAGATCAACCGATTGGCTAGTTTAGCTCGAGTGATGAATTACATTATGCAACAATGTCGCCCCGAGTAAGAAATCTGGCGGTCAGCGAGGTCTGATCACCTGCTTGTTAAAGTGAACATTTGCCTCGTTCAGGCTTCTGTCACAGACGTCACAGATCAACAGTTTCTCTAAACCTTTAAAAATACCATCAGGACAGCTTGAAGAACCTTCTAAGGTTGGGAACTGTGCCGACTCTTCAACGTCACTCCTGCATCTTTCAAAACAAATGGTTTCCTCTGACCACAATCTGTGGTAGTACATGAGCCTCACAAGCTGGAAGTCTGATGCTTTGTGGCAAATTTGCACATTCTTATGAAGTTGATCCACTTTTAGTGAAGTAGGGGTGCCGTTCATTCTGTAACACTGTGGCGCTGCTGCGTGCAAGCAAGTTGTGTTCAATTAGATTAGCATGGCAGTATTTCAGTCTAACCTCCTCAAAGTTTGAAACCCGGCAAGTTTCAGGGGTAAAGTTTTTAAAAGCTCAATCAGTTAACCAACTGATCTTTTGAGAAGAAAAAAGTGAATTCAGCTCTTCGATCCGACTCCTTAAATAATTAACTGTAAGCGTTAAGATGTTTGATGTCTCGGCGTTTCCACGGCTGCAGCTAACAGCAGGTGTGAGCCGTCAGCTGACTCTGAAAATACAATCGCTTTGCAATAGTTTCAACTCTAAACACAAAACCCTCAAAGAAGCTGCTGCTGTCAGCAAAAATGGAAGATTTCTGCACTTAATGTTAAACATCTCCATAAATGACCTTTAAGACGAGAAGTATGTCTGTGATGCTCGTTCTCAGTGTGAGCAGGAAGTGCTCAGCCTCCCCCTCAGAAGCTGCCTGCCTTACTGCTGTGGCCCTGGCTTCAGTGACGCTACCACATATTTAAGAACCAGTAACTGGGGAAATCTTTCTGTGAAGGAAATCTTGGCGTGCACATACAGCACCAGCCCCTTCAGTAAGTCCAACTGTTGGAACAGTTGAGCGTTTTGGTTTTTCTCTACTGTAGAGAAGAGAACTGGACCAGTGGCAAACACAGGATGTGCAGTCAGGCGTGTTTGTTCCTGTGCTACAACAGTCGAGTGTAGGGTAATAAATCATCAAGTGAAATCTAAGAGTGAACATTTTGGACAATGCTGGTCGTTGTAACGAACTCAGACGGTCAGAAACTGTAAATCCGAGCGTATAAAAAGTTGCTGACCTGTTACTTGCCGGGCTCAGTGTATCACAGGCACTAATGGTAAAGGACAAAATGAAATAAAGCTGAGTTTGCTTTAAGCTTAGATCAACACTAAGGAGACTGAAATGTTTAGAGCAGAAACCTCATTTTTTTAAATGGACATCTTTGTGTCAAAATGCTACTTGACTGATGTAATGCTTTTTCTTGTATTGCTTCCTTCTGATGCGTGCTGCGTGGATTCAGCCCGTCTGTGGACTTGTGTGGAAAAAACTGAATGAAACAATACTGCAGTTTCCTCGACTTACAGACAGGAGAGGAAAAAAAGAGAACAGTCCAAAGCGGGTCCTGAAGGAAGTCATCTGGAGCTACACTGTCTCTGCGGCTAGCTGCTAAGTTAAGGTACAGTGAGCACAGTTCAGTCTGTCAGTGCTGCTGGTGAGTGGGTGGGCAGACAGGAAGTGGCCGTTACTCCATGATGGCTCTGTAGATCACAGGCTCGATGTAGTCCCCCCTGTAACGGGAGTTGATTACTCTCTGTCTCTTTGACTCCTGAATGATTTCCTTCTCCTCGAAGATCCCGTCGAACCTCATGTCCGATGCTTTCGACTGTAAAGAGATGGTACCGTCACTGAAAGTGCTTCTTCATTTTGATGAACTTCCAAGTAAACTGAAAGGAACACTGAACGGGACAGACGGGAGAACGTACCAGTCTGGTTTTAACTCTCTTGGGGAGTTCTTCATCCAGACTGTAGACATCGTCTCTCTTGGCTGTTAGTTGTGATCCATCCTCAAATTCCACCTGCAGTCCAGAAACATTGAGTCAGGACACAAACAGATAACAACATTCAGCTTGTTGAACAACGTCTTTGCAATCTGCTGCTGATTTACTAGAAGTTTCCAGGAACAGCCAGAAGACGACTGAACTTTAAAGCCGAGCAGGTGACTCGTTTTATGTGAAGCATTTTGATTTCTTACTACGCGTCCAACCTACTCTGAAAATATTCCCCAATCAGAAATACGAGGCATGAAGGAGATGTGCTCGCCAGCGAACGCAGCCTTCCTTACTGGAAGTCAGAAATGGTTCCCGCCTGCGTTCCCGCCTCTGCTGTTACACGCTGAAGAGTTTTTTCTTTACATGATTAAAAACTGGAGAAAGAAGACAAAAAAAATCTTACCAGGTACATTTGAATGACGTGAGCTGCCACAAACTTGGCCCCGTACACCAGGCCGTCCGTCCATCTCACCTGAACCACCTCACCCTGCGGCGGTGGTCCAAGCTGAGCGCAGTCTCGGTTCTAACAGGCAAAAAACAAACCAAGTTCAAAGAAACGTGAAAGGAGGATAAATATCTGATGCAACCTGACATGAAATATGGCAGCGTCAGCTGTTCTGATGCTCGGGTCAAGTGTGAAGCACTAGATGATGTTTGGATTACTCCAGAGGCTTATAATCAGGAACTGCTGTGTAACATGACTGTGTGGTGGCTTTAAGGCGAGCACAGGTGGATGAACTGTCTGCCTGCAGGGACAAGCTGTGAAAATATCCCAAATATAGTGCAGGGTTAAACCGCTGCCGTCTACGGCGCTGACACACACGCTGTGGATAACTCAGGGTGTCGACGTGCACTTACACGTCTGAACAAAGAACGCAAACACACGAGCGTCGCCTTTGACATCCAGCACAGTTTGCTTCATATTCATGGCTCATACCAGCTTCACAGTCTCACAACGAGTGGTTGTTGTTCCACAGGCTAACCAGGAGGCTGCCCAGCGTCTTCATCATCTTCATCATGACCACACCACTGTATTACACTGGCAACATTTCTGAATTTAAGGGTTTTTTACGTTAACTTCCTTTAAACAGTTTCAGCTTTGCTGGTTTTAAGCTAAAGCTGTTAGCTAATCTCTGCGACTCACTGTTTTGACGCTGGGATGTTACTGCCAACTAACTGCTGTGCAAAGTCAACATCTAGGCTTGTTTACAAGGATACACAATATATGGACACTGGGTCCCTTTGCCACATGCAATGAGCGAGCTGAACGAGCTAACGGCTCACTGGCTCTGAGCGCGGTACAGTAATGGGACGCCATCGCTGCAGCGAGTCAGGTTGTGAAGAGGGCGGTTCAGCCTCTCCACAGCTGATCGACATTTCCTCACATGAAGTTTATTTAAATTCTGTGTGGTCTCCTTTATTAAAGAGACCACTCCCTGAGAGTATGTTTAACCACTTTGTGTTCTTTACAAAATGAAAAGATGTAGAAGGCAGTGGAACGTACCACGATGTCCTCGGGGAAAAGGTTATCGCTAAAAGAACCATCGTCAAAGTTGACCTCGTAGAACGTCTCTTTGGACAGCTGCACCACGTCACACTGGTAGTAGCGCCCATTCTTGTGCTTGCATATGACCTTCTGTCCCACGGTCAGCTCGTGCATGGCTGCCTTATTGCGCTGTGAAAGGGGAAAAAGTATTTTTATGCGTGCGACTGCAAACGGCTTCATAAATCTGATATTTGGGGAAGTTTGGGATATAAAATAACGTTCGTTTGTTTTTTACCTCAATCTGAGCGGGACCTTTGTGTCGACAGCAGGTAACGTGTACCACAAACGGCCATTCATCTGGCTGCATCAGCACCCCGGCGGCCTGCGCACAGGTGGGGTGATAGGCGGTGGGGCAGCGCCCGTGAGAGCACTGCACGCAACAGCCGGACGCCTTCTTCATCCGCTTCTTACAGTAGTAACATTTCTGTTTGAAGTGAAAGAAAATTCCTTTTAGTCTATGAAATTATTTTTTATTAACAAAACTTCAAGCAACAAACTGCCCTCATACCAAGTACTAAATGTACCTGGTAACTCATCTCCAAGATCTTCCCTCTTCTTTCACACATTTCCATTTCAAACATATGAACAGTTACGGCCACATCAGGCACACTGTCGTGTCACTAGAAGCTCCCCTGTACTTGGTATTTAACAGCAGCAACTGTCTGCAAGTACGCCATAGAATTAGTCCCCCTAGTATCTTGGTTCACATAATATCCTAAAATCAGTAAATTGGTGATAACAAAGCGACGCTGAGCAGGTGACATGAAAGCACTACTACCAACATACAGAATTCATCTCATGTGCCATCATGTTAGGAGCTACACTGTCAGGAAATCGAAGATATTTTAACCGTAACACAGCTGTTTTTCTGCTATCTCGAACAACTGTACTGTATCTAGCTGCATCATGACTGTGGAGGGGCGTGGTCTGCAGTGCCGCTGCAGGGAGGCGGACGCAATCACACCTGGCCAGCTTAAAGTCTGTACTGGATCCTGTCTGTTGTCAATGTTGTTGGTGTGTGTGGCTGCAAAGCTGCAGCCATCTGTGTGTCACAGCAACCGTGCAAATAAAAGTAAATGCTGAAAAGCATGAATGTGTGGGCAGGTCTGCTGTGGGTCGTTTACAGGGGGGCCAAAACCCAGGATGGGGGCACGCCTGACCCAGTACTGGGCCAGCCAGGAGAGGAGCTGGCCCAAATGGGGACCACGTGGAGGGAGCAGGTGGCAACAACAGGAAGAACTGCAGCTTAGACTGGGTCCGGGCCGACGCCACCCACACCCGCGACCCTCGACTGCGTGGGAGTGCACCCGCGCCGGCCCCCAGAGTGAGACCAGCCAACCTGTCTTTGCACCTGTACCCACTCCTCGGGTAGGAGCGGCTGGTGCCCGGCAGGGGCCCGACCCGGTTTCTTCTCCCCGAAGGAGGGTAGCCGAGCAACCTCCACCCCCACCACCTACCCAGCTGGGGCCAGAGGACGAGGCGCACGAGGGACCTCACCTGCCGGAGATGGAGGTCGGGGCGTGCGAGGGTCCAGCTAAGCCTGAAGTCGGCATGCTGGCCAGACCGGCCTCACCTCCACCAGAGGCCTGCCCACCGGCCGCCCGCCAACCCGTCTGGGAGCCTCGGCTCACGGCCACACCTGCCGCACCGCCACCTCCGGACCCACCTCGTCACCAGCGCCGATGGATACGCGGGCGACCACCTGAACTGACACCTCCCTGTCGCTGGGCCAGAGTCCGGACGCACCTGAGCGTCATCCGCAATCACACCTGGCCAGCTTGAAGTCTGTACTGGGTCCTGAAATGCTTCTAATCACAATCTGTAGCAGACGACTACATAAAGAAACCCGTGTCACACTTTTTAGTGTCATCTCTTCAGAACAACAGTGTTTCTTCTAAAGAGATATAACTAATGAGAAACTGCTGTCATCTGTGTAGAGGAAGTGTTAAACGTCCTAAGATTTCAGCTTCTCTCTCTGTTCGTGACATTATTTGTACGTGCTGGTATCTTTGTTTTGTTCACGTTGTTCGTTTGGACGCTGCACTTTCACTCTAATTAGCAGCTTTCAGACTCGAATTTCCTTCTTCATAAAAATGTGAACTTACCAGTTTGAATCTCTGCAGTGGGATCCCACTCAAGTCCACAGGACTTCTTTCTGTGATGTTGACAAAGCGTGCCTCCAGCACAGCAACCGCACACAGCACGTGTACCCACCTGCAACACACAAACACACCCCCACAAAGAGGTCACACCCGACCACAGGCAGCAGCAGTTTGATGTTGTTTGTTTTCTTCATCTGTTTTTATGGTTCTAATTATCCAAGCAAAGATACAGCAAAATCAATCAGATGGCAGGGGAGTCAATTTTGTGCGCATCATCACACAAAACAATGAAGTCAAGTCCATTACTGAATCACACCCACGTTTCCCCACTTACACTTTACTTGCAGGCCGTCTAGATATAATAAGGGCCTCCAGGCACCAAGATAGCAACTCATTTTAACATTTTAATGTTTTCTTTTTAAAATAACCGTCTCACAGACTGACGAAATCCCCACCTGATTTACTCAAGAATAATCCCCTTGAATTTATCTTTCAGTTCCTGCCAACATGCACGCTCTTATCCTTCCAATTTCATGATTTCCTACCACCTGGCTTCTTGGCCAGATCACTATTGTGCAGGCCCTGAATTATACTCAGCTTCTTGCGGAGACAGAGATCTCATGTGGCTGGTAAAAGCTACCTGACAGAAAGAGAGGAAAATAAAACAAGAGGATTTCTGTTTCTAAGAACAGAATTTAATCTCGAGATGCACCACATGATCAGATGTGCTCACTCACTAATGTATCTTAAATGACTTACTTGTTATTGTTGGCTTTCTGCAAAGCTCCGCCCCTCAATGAACACAGGCAGCAATTCTACAAAAAAAAGAGCGAGATGGTCAAAATGATGAAAATACAGAACATTTGGTAGCTAACATCTAAATATGGATTTAATAAATCAATGTTTAAGGACCAACATCTATGATGTGGTTGGAGATATCAAACACAATGTGTCTGATCTAAAAGTTTATTCAAACACGTGGGAGGTAAAATTAGGGACCCAATGGATCTGTTCAAGTTCCTCACTGTCACATTACAGCTTAAGTATTCGTCTTTTACATATTAATGAACATCTGTTACAGTCAAGTCACGTTAAGTTCACACAGTTGTGATGAAGTCAGCCTGCAGCAGTTTCAGGTTCTGTCACAGCAGAGCTCAAGAAAAGGTGCAAACCTGAAAACGACTGCACACACTTCTTCCTCTCCGTGATGAGTTTTTGAAACACTGAATTTATTTTCTAAACTGTGATGAACGAGGCAGTTAATTCAGTGTTTAATCACATGATCAAACATGACAAGCACACATGTAGGCAGAAATATTTCAATCCTGATGAATAAATAACAAATACTCCATCTCCCTCTGTCTATATATCGTCCCTGCCTGGGGACGGGACGGCAACGGGGAGCCAGGATGACGGGTCAGGGGGGAGATAACTGCTTTATTTGTGTGTGTGTGTGTGTGTGTATTGTATTCATAAATAGTAATTACCTGCCTAATCCTTTCTTCATTCAGTAACCCTGCACTACCAAAGTGTTAGAGTACAAATCTAATGGACTCAACACAGTCTCTCCTTTGAGTCTCTATTTATAATAATGTGTTTCATGCAGTGGTGCATATCAGTACATTATAATGATGTGAGCTAATTATAAACTGATGTAGCATTTAATGTATCTGATTGTTTTAGGCAAGTAATCTTTTGCTTGTAACTCCAACGGTATCAAATGATCCGCCTACAAGTTGTAAAAAGTGACGTTTTTCTTCTCTCTGGTGCAGAAAACAGGTAACTGTAAAACCATCACATCTACTAAATTAATATAATTCAACACCCTTAAAAAAACACTACACGTTAATTAATTAATGTAATTCATGTTGCACGTTAATGGTGCAAATAGTGATTGTGTAAAATATCTTTTCATGATTTGGAATGTGGGACTTGTGCAGAAGCAGGATGGACAGTTCCACTTTTAGAAGCCGTTAGGAAACAAATCCCTTGACTACCAACTGGATTCATGCTAACTTGCACGGCTCGATAAAGAGTAAAAACAGCCACAATTGTTGGCTGACCTCAGTCATGGCGTTGGCCTTGCAGCGTGCACACTTCCACTCCTTGTTCACACTGGCTGGATCGACACCGTAACAGGCTGGAAGAGAGAAATGCAAACTTTGAGACGTCAGTGAAACACTGAAGAACTATGAAAAGCTTTAATGATTCCATTTTTGTAACATGATTAATAACTGATGATATGATAAATGCTGTGTATGAAATGTCCTCTGTTTTGTTTGGTCTTTGCATCGGTTCAAACTCGTAATGAAATGATTACTCAGGAGCGTAAAAGACTTCATATTCTATTTTGTTCTTTGAATTTAATTCCTCGTTGTTCTCTGGTCATTTCGATAAACTATTTTGAAACAAAAATTCTTCTTCTCGCTGAAACATCATTTGTGCGTATAGTGGTCGCACTTAAAGACTCGTTTTAAAAGCCTCTGATGCAAACACTCATATGTCAAACAAGGCTAGGTTAGATATAAACTAACACTCCTACTTGAAGAGTGCGTGTGTGTGCAGGCGCACATGCGTGTACTGACATGCATGAACTCTCACGCTGCACTGTGAGCAGCTGATGAGGAGACTGGTTCCATCTTCTTCCAGACGAGGAGTGACCGGTTGCTCTTCACACTCAGCGTCGTCCTCTGTGGTGGTGGTGAAACACATCTCAGGAATCAGAGGTTTGGTTCGCATCCGCTCCCCGGCCACCACCACGTGCGCGTCGATGCTGTTCGCACACTCAGTCTGACAGCAGTCACAACAAACACATGTGGACTCTGTTAAGAGTTGCTGTTTGTCTCTCGAAACACACAATTTACCGCTTTCATCTTCAGCCGCAGAGGTTTAAATGCTCCGTAATCTTACGCGCCCTGATTAGCTGTCAAAAATACTATTTTTGGAGTCGCTCCATATTCAAGATCAATCAAACATCTAAGAAGCAAAACAGTCACACATTAAGGTACAGCGCTAATATTAGCAGACTGGAAACCAGTACTGAAGATGAGATGTTTGTAGGATGAAAGCAGGGAAAATAGTTGAGGAAAAAGGTAAATATAGATGATATGACACGACATTCAGTCTACGAATGGAACGTTTGAAGATTTCACAGATGACGGACTTTTGTTTAACATGGAAAATCTGGAGTCTGTTCAAGTTTGCACGAACAGCCATAAAGAGGATCAATGCCAAGTACGAGGGTTGGACTGCACGAACATATCAACGGCAGCCCTAATTTTGGGGGGAAATTAGTTCGTCCATGTTTGAACTTCTGTGTTGTAAACAGGCAAATCAGTCCGTGCATGATTACATTGCCCATCAAAATGTATCGCCCATCGTCGATTATTGGACTGACGGGTGTCGGTGGGAAAGCTTTACATATGGCCCGACACTACCAAGTTCATTCATTGAATTCATGTAGATGCAGTTTGGTAAATGAAGTTGCCGTGAGGCTGGATTTACTCTGTACTGTGATGTATCAGAAGATACAGTCTGGACCAATGAAAACAGTGTAAACTTCCCATGATGCAAACCTCACCTGGCTTGGCTCATCTCACCAAAGAACACTATATTAGTTGCATGTTCAGATGCTGCGGGGGCCTGTACCATATCTGGTTTTGTCTCGGTGGACTGGTGAGGAGCAGGTCTGCTCTGCTGCGAATTACCTGGTGGTACGTGTGGAAGAGCAAACAGATGGAGCAGTATGGAGGCTTGGAGCCTATTCGCTGGTTGTACTCCCTCTCTTTCTTCAGGTTGGGTGGCCTGCTTTGCCACAGGTGAGCCAGAGGCTTGGCCCAGCCCTCACCCTCCACACCCCCTGCCTCCACTGGGGGCGGCTCTTCTGGAGTCTCTGAGGCACAAAAAGCAAAGACAACACATTTAGCTAAAACAGCATTAGGAATGACAGAGGCCTGGTTTGTTTAGTTTCACTAATCTAATTCTGTTATTGGCTTTGAAGTCAAAGGTGGCTTAATTAGCTCTCAAATATAAACTACATGCAGATAATGGGACCTTAAAGTGTTCAGACACACCTTCATCACTCATGCCGTCTTTTATGAGTGGATGGTGTCCTGGAAGCTGCCCAAGGTCAGTCTCAAAGTCTCGAAGTCCTGCCATCGCTTTTGCCACCTGCTGGAGAGAAACAGCATTTTCAAAAGGCCACACAGCTAGTTTGCAGTTGATCATGTTTGCACCATATATGCATCATTCTCCAGAGGCCTGCGCCTTCATCATTTTAGGGTGTTTTTATATTAATAATATCTGAGCATGAAAGTAAAAAAGGCTTACACACCACTAGATGACGAGACTGGGCTGCACCAGAATTCTTAGTTAGCGATGGTGTAGTTAAAGTAATGCAGTTATTCAATGTTCAAAGTCGTGGAAAGTAGCAAAGAGTGTTGATGGCTGCATGTATGCATTTGGACAAACACACGAACCAAAGACTGGAGAAAATGTTTAGAACAGTACAAAGATCACACATCTTGGAATGACAAGGCCAGAGAAGTGCAAAAACTACAGCAGTGGGTAACTTACAATGTTAAATACATGTCCACTCACTGCTTTGCCAACATGACAGTTGTCCTCCTCGGTTTCATGGTCGCTCTCCTCACTCATCTTCTCCTCTCTGGACAGCACTTCTCCGTCGCCGTAGTCTCCTTTGGCGTAGCTGTGGACGTGCAGGACGTCTGCGGGACTCAGCGTCCTCTGAAACACTTTGCTGCAGCTGTTGTCCAACGGAGGCTCCTCGCTTCCAGCGGTCTCCTCAGCGCCCAGAGAAACCGCCTGGTTCTCAGTGGGCTCGGGAGGAAAGACCTCCATAGCCACCACGCAGTTCTTCTCTTTTTTCAGCGGACTTCGTCTGTTTGAAGTTTTCTTGGCATTGGCTTTGGACTGAGCTTTAGGCTGGGGTTTGGTCCCTTTCTCCTTCTTCACCTCCTTGACTTTCACTGTGTCTGAAAGAGATTCATTGAGATACACAGACTAGCACTTTGCCCCCAAACTTTTACAGGACATGGGTTCAGTGTGCCACAGAGTCTTTTTATAATCTTCACTTTATTTCACATATTCAAGTTATTTTTACTTCCAATAGTGTTAACATGCTGCACAGGTCATCAACAAGAGGTCTTTAAAATTTTAATTGTAAGTGGGCTGAAGCAGTTAAAAGTAGTCTAACATAAACGCTGTAATTTGATTATTTTAATAAACTTGGATGCCGGCGTGACCACAGTGCACACGTCTGCTGTTGCTCACAGTGGTCCAAGGGATGCTCAGGGAGTTTGTGTGAGGGAACATTGGTGTGAAGTCTGAGGTACCTTTTTCTGCCTTGCTGGTCACTTTAGTTGGAGACTCCTTACGTGACAGCTTGGCCTTCTTTGGCTCCACCCCCGCCTCCTCTGGCTCCACCCCCACCTCCTTTGGCTCCACCTCCGCCTCCTTTGGCTCCACCTCCGCCTCCTTTGGCTCCACCTCCGCCTCCTTTGGCTCCACCTCCGCCTCCTTTGGCTCCACCTCCACCACTGGCAGCTCAGGTTTGACATCTTCAGAGGCTTTGACAGCTTCAAGCTGACGTTTAGTCCCAGTGTGAGGCTCTGGACTGATACGTGGGAGAGCAAATGGAAGACATGTTGGACAGGACTCAAAACTAAACCGTGTTTCTCAAAGACTGCCGAAACCAAACTAACAACTCTGAGTGAGGCTGACATGTGAGAGGAAAGCACAGAATCTGTCACAGCCTATGCTCAATCACTTCTGGCAGAGTCTAAAGAGATTTATGTCAGTGCTGCTCCTCTGAGTGGAGACAGAACCACCTCTGTACTGCAAACAGTCTGAATCACTGCAATCTTTAAGCTGAGAACATCTGCAAATCTGCAGTGACTCAAATTGTCATCTTTATGGTGGATGCATGTTTTAATCCAACTAATTAGCTTTAGCTGATTATTGTTATTGTACTTAAAATTGGTTTATATGCCATATAAATAGTTTGGGTAAAGATTTTATGAGCATTTAACAATGATTTATTACGACCGGTTCACATCCGTATCAGAAAACTCCGTGAATATAGGAGCAGTGGGTTAGTAGTGACTATAAATCAGACCTTTTGTCCTCCTGGACAGCAGTGTTGGGCTCCTCGGATGGCACCTCAGCAGGACTCTCCTTTGAAGGTCCGATCTTTTTGTCTTCTTTCAGAAACTCGGCGGCCTCCGGCGTGGGCTTGGAGTGGTCGATGGGAGCGTTGTCTTTCCCTGCCTTCCACAGCTTGTAACGTTCAGGTTGAAACTTGCGTACAAATACGTCCATGGAGATCTTCACCATGTCCTGCCGGCATGAACACTGAGAGGAAAACACTCTTAACACACTACGAAGTTGATAAGAATTCACTTCACTATAAATAAACCAGCTGTGGAGTTATACTCGGTGCCGTTCAAACGTCTTTATGTACCAGCGTTGCTTGTTTGCCGTAATCGATCCATCGTTGAGTGGCAAAATTAGTTGACTCGGCGCAGTTGAAGCCGTGGTTGAAACCAGCGTGATAACCAAACGGGAACGTCACGATGAACTGCCCGGCCTCCTGAGTGACCTGAGTCGAGAACAACACAGATCAGTATGAGATGAATGTTTTATTTTATTTTTTCTGCTTATCTGTTCATCACCATTTAGTGTTGCATGTAAGACAACGCAAATTAAATAAAAGATTACCTTTTCAAATGGTATGCCATATTTTTTCAGGATGAATGGTGAAATTAAAGTCATCTTGTGGCGCAGGAAGGCTTCACAGCCCTGGACGTTACCTGGAAAGAAACCTGGAAACAGGATCTCATCAGCAGCGGTGCAGTTGGGCGTCGTTGGCTCTTTTTATTTAAATGGTTTAGTGTAAAACAGTTATGTGGGATATGTAAACAGCACTGCCGTTACAGTCTCTGGGTGCTTTCTGAGTGTACACTGGACTTCCCCTTTCATACGGCAGTGGTAAAATCGAGCTTCACCCACCTCAGGCAGCTGCAAAAATAAAGCCAATTCTTTCGCGACAGTGATCCACGCCTTTGTTAGCACTCGGCCGCATTACTGTAATGCACTTTATGTTGGGGTCAGCGCATCATATATTAGTCATCTGCAGAGGGTGCAACATGCCGCAGCTCGTCTTTTAACTGGCACTTGAAAGTTTGAGCACATTTCCCCTGGTTTAGCTTCACTTCACTGGCTGCCCATTTCTTTTAGGATTCATTTTAAAATTCTTTTATTTACTTTTAAAGCTCTCCATGGCCTCGCCCCATCTTATCTCTCTGAGCTGCTACAGCCTTATACACCCACCCGCTCTCTCAGGTCAGCTGATCAGCTGCTCCTGCATGTACCCAGCACTGGGCGTAAACTTAGAGGAGATCGTGCTTTTGCTGTAGCAGCTCCAAACTGTGGAACGAGCTTCCTTTAGAGATCAGACAGGCCACTTCTTTATCTGTTTTTAAGTCACTCTTGAAAACCCGCCTCTTTACCCTGACCTTTGACACCACGTGAGATGTTGGTTTTTATTTTTATTTCAGTTGTTTTTAGGTGATTCGATGCAGTTTTATCTTGTTTTTGTTTTAACATAGGGCTGTTTTAATTTTATGTTTTATGTGTTTTATTGATTTATTTTGCTGTTTTCTGTTATTTTAACTTATTTTCTGTACAGCACTTTGTTCCTGTGCTGGGTATTTTAAAGTGCTTTATAAATAAAATTGGATTGGGTTCATACATCGACACATAATAAGCTGAAGTCACTCCAGGCATCGACTCTGTGATCAAGCCGCTTAAAGACAACAATATGGGTTCTGTCACCTACCCTTGGCGAGCCTTTCCAGACGTTTCCCTTGCTCTGGTGGGACGACGTACCTAAGAAGTAACAAACGTACAGAAATACTGAAAAAAGGTGATTGTGACGTTTACACCAGAGTCAAAAATGCTCCAATCGGTGGATGAGATCCCTGCTTCACTTTAAGTAATAACTACATGAACAGAAACAATAACTGAATGTTTTCAACAGTAAATAAACAAACAAAGACATTTTTCTAAACTGTTTTGTAAACTGGCTGCTTTGGCAAACAGACTTCTGCTAAATACAAAAACTAGATATGTGTTAATATTCATTCGTTCAAACAAAGGTGAGGTTTGTCAGTGGCCCTACCAGGACTTTGGCTCTCCAAAGTGCAGGTAGTTGATGCTATATAGATCCATGTCTTCTGTGTGCCACGCAAAGGCGCTCTTCCACATCCCAAAGTACAGGTAGGGCGTGTTGACACCCTTGATCTTGATGCCACTCTCATTCTCCACAATGTCCAGGATCGTGTTGAGACGACCAATGTTCCATTCAGTCACATCCTGCAGAGGAAGGATTCACACAGGCTGCAAGTCAGGACAACTAACCGTATGTGTGAAACTGATTTACCTTTAACTGATCAGGAAAACTAAGGAATGAAGAAAGATTTGAGTTTGTGAACATAAAAGTCTCTTTTTTTAATCTATGAGAACAACCGCATCCCAGTTTATCAATTTAGTAGTGCAGCTAGTAACAAGCTAGCTCCAGTGTATAATATGTGGTTGTATTTTCCCATCAGTTTGCCTCAATTCTATCCACACGTTCCTCCACAGATTCTCTCTTTCCATGAGAGATTACAATTCGTTGGACCCCAGCTGGGAACGGTAATCTTCCTGATCTTGGAGTGCCAGACTAGTCCGAATCTGCAACAGGTAGAGCTGCTTCATTTGCTCTGAGCTCACCGAGGCTGCAGAACAGAGACGGCAGTCAAGACACTGAACTTGAAGATAGGCGCCGGAAGAGAGGTTCTCTGAGAGCCAGCTGATTCTATCGCTCAATGATTTATCACAAATACTCAGGTAATAACACTGGCACAGGAGGAATGTGTAAACTACATTTTTAACAACCCCACCTGTCTACCACAAACAGAATTGAATATATTTAAGTTCCATGTATGCAGCCTATCACCACTCACTGGATCATATAGCGTTCCACTGACATCAGCACCGTAAAGTGGAGGGTTAAAGGTCAGGTTCTTCCAAAACTTCCTCTCCAGCTCGTCAAAATCCACGTATCGTGGGCTGCAGAATCTACAGAGAGAGATATTCAGAGAAGACTGAGCAGAGGTCACAGTCGCTGAAACCCATTCATGCAAACTTTCACTGAGTAAACTGACTTGTCCATGTTGGAGGTCTTGCGGAAATCATGGACAGTCATGGGCTTCTTTTGGATGTTGTACTGTGTGAATAGTCCTGACTGGCCGGTAACCACCTGCTGGATGGGAGCGGGAATCACCAGGTCATCGATATCATCATAAGTCTTTCTGGGTTTCCAGCCTTTAGGAGGAATAACCTGCAAGGAGCACAGATGAGAGAAACTCAGGGCAACAGCAGAAGGAAAATAGTGAATTTCTGGAATTAGTATCACACTGAATTTCTCGCCCTTTTTACATATTATCATTGATATTATTATTATTTAAAATACATTTATCTTCCTGTCTTAAGTCTTTTTTTTTTTTTACATATTTTAACAATTGATGGAAATTGTGTAGACAGACACCGTTGTGTGTATGTAAAGATGACACAGGAAGTACGGCTATGAATCAGTGCACAAGTTATGTTATTTTAATGAGTGACTTTACAGGCATGTTAGCTTTAAACAATAGCACAGGAGTCTCAGACTCCTCTTACATCTGCCTCTTCAGAACATTTATATGGCAACACAAATGTTATAAGAAACTATTTAAAGTAACTAAAAGGATGATAAAACTCTGAATATGTCAACGTTGAACACGATCAGTTAACCTAACTTCCTGTTAGCTTCACGTTTTCACACTAAGAGCAAACTTTCAGATGTGATCCTCTAAACACTAATGAGCAGGAAACGACTGGCTTCTGACTTTGTGCTTTGGTTCAAAAGTCTTTAACAGCTGTGGTACAAAGACATTCACAGCGTTTCTCTGCTCTGCTAAACAAAAAGTGACAAAAAGACAGAAGCAACTTACTTTTGCCATCCCAGCTCTGTGCGCTCCTTGTGACTCCATAAAGGCAATGTAACGTCCAAAGTCCTTGAACTCCTCTTTGGAGGGGGTGAATGTCATCACCCTGCAGCCCACACTTTGGGCTGGCGTGTCTGTGGTCATCTTGGGAGTGTTATTGTGACCTCAACTCTGGAAAACATAAACACGATTATGTCTGTTTGCCTGACAGTTAAGCATACATTCAGACAATGCAGCACGCTTAGCATCAATGGAGCATCTGTGGAAGCATCCTGGGAGTAACTCAGTTTCTTTGTTGTGACTTGCCTTTAGCTGATGTTGCTCTTTATTAACGTTAGTTACTATGCATTTTTTTTATCATGTGCTCTACATTCATATACACACAAAGTGAAAATCTGCACAGCCTGTCAGTTAAGTACAGGAAACCATTCAAGCATCTTCTCTCATATATTCTAACTGATCTGCCGCAGTGATCACAAACACCACAATCAGTGACATTCACCAGATATCCACCATCCCCACAGGTTCACAGTTCCTCTTTTAAGTCTGTGACCACGTCTGAACCCCTCTGTGCCATTTAACAGACTTGACTGATCATCTCAAACACACTGCCAGGTGATAAAACCAGAACATCAATTTTTTAATACAAACTTGAAAAAATAAAAACAAAAAAACCCCTTAAACTTAGCAAGTTTAAAAAAAAAATCACTCTGTGTCACTTTGGAGCCAGTTTCACTTTTACATTACAAAGACTAATGTTATCTATGATAAAACCTAAAACCTTCTGAAATCAGCACACAGGAACAAGGCTGCTCAATTACAGCAAAAAACAATGATTTTGGTCAATTATTTACTGTGATAAGTCATTAATTTGTCAAATATCCAGTTTTTATGGCCTTTAAAAAAATGTCTTTGTTTATAGATGATACCCTTTAACTTTAAAGAAAAGTCAATTAAAAAAAACTACATAAATACATAAAAAAGTCAAGCTCACAGGGACTGATTGTTGCCTGACTAGTGGGTGTTTTGACCACAAAGGCCGTTTCGCAAGAGCAACTGTCAATACCTGCTGGCCCACAGCTTCCACAGTGGGATCTCTCTGGGTGCAGACGAGGCCTAAAAAAGGCCCAGACAGCAGCAGACTCACACACCTCAGGAGAGATGCTTGGTCTCCACACACAGAACTAAGTAGAGCTGAAGCTAACAACCAAGCAAAATGCTTTCAAATATAAACACACACGAACATTAATGATGCTACAGATCCTTTCTGCAACTTTTACTTCTGAAAATATTGCGTTGACCTGAGGCTGTATCTGGTCTCATTTTACTACAAAGACAAAACAAAATCTTCAAATGAATATGAAAAAAAAAGAGTAATCTTATCCTGATTAGCTTGTTTTCATAACTGTTAAAAGCCATAATCATAATTCAAATTAAAATCTCTACACAGGATGTAATAAACCACAATCTCATAGCAGTGCTGGGCACTACAGTTTCAACAAAGGCACCACGCCCACACCCACCCAACAATTCGCACTTTGCAGCATTTAAACTAGAAATAAATGCTTATTTGAGACTTCTCGTGATAATTAATTATATCAACAAACACAGTTTCGGACATATCACCAAGTTGAACTATACCAAGCATCGCAGCAATAACTTCTGTGATTTTACATTATTGTCTGCTTGTGAACATTTTCCTAACTTCATGAAAACTGAAAACCTCTCCTCAGTCAAAAGCACTCCCAGCAAAACATCCACCCAGACTGGGACCAGAACATAAACACACGGATCCCAAACACCATCTACAGCCTCGTTTCAGGTTTGTGAATTCAAAAAAAAAAAAAACTTTAACCAAGCCTCCACCTTCAGTAATAACACACAATAAACTATATTTGATTAGTTTATTCTTTAACAGAATAATAACGTAAACTCCCGAAGTAATTAGTTTAACTAAACATTGTGTATCACAAAAATCGATTTCCGATTACACACATACTCAACTTTTAGCTAAAGGCAACGCTGCACTCTGTCTTAACGGACTTTACTGGAAGACTCGGAGATCCTCTGTGATTGGACACAGTCTTATCTTCGGCATGTGATTGGCTCAGCAGAACGTCACTCACACGTGGTAGCCCACTTACAGCGCATCTCCTCGGAAAAATATTTAGCTAGTCCACTAGCTAAAATGCTATCTGCAACATAGCTTGTTCTGCGACCCGAGAATTAAAAGTTAAGTCAACAAAAATCAAAAACACCCTAATGTTCAAAAGTAACCACTAAGTAGCCAACATTTACGGACAGCGCAGATCCTACCGTCAAAACTGGTAGAAGTTAATAGCAGAAGTGTGCTGCGGACTCGGAGATCTGACAGCTGCTAACCAACTAGCAAACATGGCTTGTTGCTCACCGTTAGTTTCTCATGCGCAAACTTAACAGTTATTTCTGCTCCCCTCAAAGTGAGCCGCTTCACAAGTGACAAACTTTAACTTACACACGCTGAAATGAAGGGGAGTTGTTTGCTCTCCGATTACAGGTAACAGAGTTGCAATACGGACAACATCAGTCCGGCTAGAAAAGACAGTCCTCCATTATTACAGTGACGCATGCCCAGTGTGTGTTTGTTTACACAGCGCATATGAAGGCGGGGCTACCATAGTCTCCCAGCTAATCACAACGCCCTGTGTTTCCAGACCACGCCTCCTGCTGTTCTGATTACGGACAGCTCAGCTGATGAAACACCTGTTTCCCATTCTGAGATATTAAAAGTAAGTTGAAGAGATTCTGATGTTTTATTTTAATGTCACGGTTGTGAGAGGCCAGCAGCTTTTTTTATGTTCATTTTTTTCACATTTTTATTGTGGATAAACCTTTGGCCTTTGATGGTAAACTGATGAGAACCAGATTGTGAGGCAAGAAGCCACTGGGTAGGCTTCCACTGCTCTGAGATCAGTTACAATCTGTGTTTTGTGTGGAAATACAACTAGCATTAGTAAGTAAATGAGCTTTGAGCTTTTACATCGTCCTGATCAAGATGCCTTGTGCCAACAGTTATAGACGACAGGTGGTTCCACCGACAAAAAGTACTTGCTGCTGGAGTAATCAAGGAGTCGCACAGTCTATATGCATCCCCAATTGCTGTAGCAAGGGGGGGAAATTGCATAATCAGGATGTATATTGATTACAGACCATTCTAAATAAGTACAAGAACCCATGATGCCTTAGACTCAGTGGTTGGATGCATCAGTGAGCTTGATGAGACAGTGTACCAGGCTGTGGTTGACTCCTTTGGCACGCGGTGTGAGGAGAATCACTTACAGCTCAATGTGATAAAGATCAAAGAATTGACTGTAGACTTCAGGACCAGGAAACCTGTGACCCCTGTTTCAATCCAGGGGGTCGATGTGGACATCGTCGAGGACTATAAATACCTCGGAGTACACACGTTTAGTGAGAGACTGAGATTACACAAATGCACCACTGAACGACATAGGAAATCATTCCGGCCTGTGGCCATATCCATCTCCAACTCCTCTATCTAATGCACAGTACACAGTGTAATAGCTGCACCCTTTTGCACATCCTCCACAGTAAAATAACAAATAGCAAAGCTTTACAGGTTAATGTAAAATATCAATCATAAATATTTCACTTCTGTGATATTCTGTATATTTATAATTGAGTTATTTGTATATATTAGAGCTATTTCTTATATTTTGTTAACTTTGAAATTTGTTCAGTCTCTTACTGTTATTGCCTTGAAGCAACTGTAACCACATAATTTCCATAAGTATTAATAAAGTTGGCAGCACGGTGGTTAGCACTGTTACCGCACAGCAAGAAGGTCCTGAGTTCAATTCCACCATCAGGCCGGGGTCTTTCTGTGTGGAGTTTGCATGTTCTCTCCGTGTTTGCGTGGGTTCTCTCCGGGTACTCCGGCTTCCTCCCACCTTCCAAAGACATGCAGCTCGTGGGGATAGGTTAATTGGATAATCCAAATTGCCACTAGGTGTGAATGTGAGTGTGAATGGTTGTCTGTCCCTGTGTGTTGGCCCTGCGACAGACTGGCGACCTGTCCAGGGTGTACCCCGCCTCTCGCCCTATGACAGCTGCGATAGGCTCCAGCGCCCCCGTGACCCTGAAAAAGGATAAGCGGAAGCAAATGGATGGATGGATGGATTAATAAAGTTTTCTGATTCAGATTTTCAGGAATATGATTTGAAGGTGTCCACTGACAAGTTCCAAGTTTGTAAAACTGTATCCAAGCACATTTGCTACATTGTGTCTGCCACCAGCCAAGAAAAATATAAGCAATAACTTAGTGGCTCCAGCCTACTGATCTTAAGACCCTATAATCCTTCTTGGGTTTCTGTATATGGCTGTTCCTTCTGAATTATCAGTACTTTATTATCAGTTACTCAGTTTTTGTGCGAGTCTTGACAGATCTGACAAAATGCTGTCTTCCAGGACACCCAGGAAAGCAAACTCCAGCACATAGGACCATCTATTTTAAGAAATCAGAGCCTTTTGGACATCACACCTGGCCTTTGCTGACCTGAAGTCCTATATACTGCATGTAAACTGTATCTTGATGCATGCTCAATCATCCAGGTAAGTAAATCCCCAAAGTTTGATTCTGTTGATTTGGATGTAGCGTTTTCAGTGGGAGAAACGTTTCGTCACCCATCCAACTCTATCAAGAATACCCAGAGAGGTTCTGGAACTCTGAAAGAAATGATCATCTTGAGTAAAATAGGCTGTGGTTGATAAATTCCACGTGGTGCTAAATTCACCACCTCATCAGGAGGCCCTGATCAACTTGGTGCATCACTCTCTGCTATTCCAGACTCCCATTGGGTGATACTCTAATGGCCCTGCTAAGTAAGCTGGATCTACAAAGGGACCAGGATGGATGACGCTATTGGAAGGGTGAAATCGGAAGTAACAGCCATTGCAGCCATCCAGTGTTATTAAGAGCAGTCATCCAGATATTGCTTTTCTTCAGCATGAAGGAGGAAGTCTGCAGCTGTGGAATGGGCTACTGTGTAGGAAGACTGCCAAACCAAACAGCCTTGTTAAAAGAAGGAAGTCAGGGTGCGATATCTCAGTACACGGGTGCCCAGAAAGCACTGCATTTATGATAAATTTGTACTGTTTTGCTGTCTTTTTACTCCAGACATTCTAATGTAACAATGCAGAGAAGATAAAAAGTTCCACTGGAGAAACGCTTCTTTTCAGTCATTATTACTAAGTGACTGTAGGATTTCCTTTTATACAACTTCAGTACTTTTACTTTTGATGCTTTTGATGCTGTGCAAAATAAAGTTCTTATTGGGTAAAATTTAGACTACAGGAAATTTGCAGAAATGTCATTTTCATAAAGAAAATCCCCTAAATTTACTTTAATGAAGGTTTACTTCTATATTTTTTAAAATAAACAACACCAAACAGTCACACGAGGACAGCAAAGCACAGCATATTTGTTTCCCCTTGGTCCACCGGGTGTCACCTCACGTCACATTTTTATAAAAATTGAAAGAAATCACTGCTTTTATATGAAAAACCCAACATTTCAACTTTATTAACATCAAGATTTTGAAGACATTTTTTCTCTGCTTTTAATAGAAAACAGATCGTTTATACAACAGTTAGGACCCCTACAGCACAACTATGAGAAATGAATCCTTTAAGTGGGCCGCATCATTCAAAAGCCACCTCACTGTATCTTTCAATGAAAAACGCAGAGATGCATCAATGAACAATGATGTTGTTCTCTGAGCCTGCAACACAGTGATAAAAGAGGTGAGTTATCTGTGGTGACGATCCCGTTTAAATGCATCCTGTCAATGTAAAATCATGTATGCAGATGCAAAGATGAGTGAATATGTGAGATATGACTGTCTTGTACTGTAGGATGTTGAGTCCATATTCAGTGTGCTTTACAACAACTGGGCTGTTTTTGTACAAACACAATGTGGAGAATCTTTGTGAAATGAGTATGAGCGTCAGAAACCAGGCTGCATGTCACAGCAGAGCTTTTCACATTGGTAACCCCGAATGTTAACGGAGGGCCTATTTAGCTTATTTCTAGAAGCATTTCCCTGTTGTTGTTGTTGTTGTTGTTGTTGCAGTTTTTTAAAAGTTTGTAGTCCACCACAGGAGCATTAAATGATTTACAATAAAAAAATTCCTTATTTATCTCATATCCAGACACCAATAAATGTTTGGCCCACAGGAAATTTTCTATGAGCTGCATTTAGGCTTGGGTGATGTACCCGACTCAGGCTGAGTCTGCCTCCCTAAATTCAGCCACAGGTCCACCTTATTTGGACAAGATGCCAGCTGTTGTTGGACATTTGGGTCATATCTGGCCCACACAACACTCGTTTTAATGTTAAGCCCATCTCATGACTTTTATCCATGTCTGGTCCACACAGGATCTGCCAGTCATAAAACATGTGGCACATTTGTAGCCCCAGATGTATCACGCTGCTTGCCCCTCAGTTGAGCCTCTGTAAGGCTCTTGGCATTTTAAGTTTGCCTCTTCAACAATCCCACAGAGCCACATCAGGCCAGAGAGTGTGTTCTAGTTTCTTGTGGTCATGTGAAAAAGTAGCAGGCTAGAAAGCTGAACTTGGTAACGTGTACTGATTATTATAAAAGTCTATTTTAGCCTAAACCTCAACTTAAATGTCAAAACAAACTCCAATAGGTCTCAAACACAAGTCTCTTGTTAATAGTAATTTTTAACTATGCTGATTTCTGTTGCTGTGCAGAAACACTCTTCCTGTTGTCTTTTGAGCAACATGGCGCCATCACCACTGCTTACATGTCATTTTTTAAGCCATTTTAAAATTTCTAGATATCAGATCAATGCTTGATGTGACATTTTTTCTCCCTAAATTTAAAACATCCTTTAAAGCAAATTGAAGTCTACTAACTTTGTGTTATTTGAACGTTGCATAAAAATACCAGGCAGTTTAGTGCCTGGTACTTTTTTCGCTTCTATTTCCCCTCATTCCTCCAATGGACAGTTGTGTATGGCTGCTCCTTTCTGAGCCTGGCTCTGTGAGAGGTCTCTTCCTGTTAAAAGGTAGTTTTTTGTCCTCACTGTCACTAATGTTGCTCACAGAGGATCTTCTGATGTTGGGGTTTTATTCTTTTTTTCTCTCCAGGTGTCAGAATTTCATTTTTTACGTGTGGAGCACGAGCTCTGCATTTGACGTCACACTTATTTCACAAAAACACTCATGAACAGGCCATCTGTGTTAGTCTACCTGAGTCCACAACTTTTCCAACTGCTTCATTATTCTTTTGCTGAAAGCCTCCAGATCTCTGAAGACTCTGAGAACATTATTTAATGACAAAAAACGCTGTACATGCTTGCAGTTCTTCAGATGTGATGAGTCTTTGCACATTTATAGCTGTGATGTATTTCATACTGCAGGTCACAAACCTTATTTGCTCAGTTGATCTGTCTAGTAGAGATCATCATTCTCCAAGTTTCCCTCTAAATAAGACCAACCGAATAACGATAAACATTAGAATATCATATCTGTGGTATAAAATAAAAAAATCATTAGCAGCTGTGAATATACGGCGTCCAGTATTAATGACTTGGATCATGTTGAAAATACATGTCCTCTATTAAAAATGAAGAAAAATAAGAGAAGCAAATTAAGAAAAGACCCATTAAGACATATAGTAACCAATGTAAGTGATCACAAAATAAACTCTAATAATGGCTAACAACATAGTCATGATGGATATAAATGAAAGTAGCAGAAAAATAGTTTTTGCTATTTTGAGGAGGCAGAAATTGGGGAGTCGCAGGGATCAGAATGAGGCATGAGTACAGTACGAGTCTTTCAGGGTTGTTTTTTGGGAGGTTTTTGTGTGGGGTCTGTGGCAGAATCATGGCACCAGTCCAGGAGGGGGAGGTCATCACATCGCCTCTCCTCTTTCCATTAATCTCTCCTGATTCCTGCTGTGGTCATCTCCTCATCAGTCCTCTTCAGAGCCTCCTCATCAGCCTGCAGGGGCCAATGGAGCAGAGTGGATGTGGCTCAGAAGAGACACAGATCTCCTCTGAGGGCTTCTTTCTGGGCAGGGTTATGTTGCATAGTGATCAAAGCTTCCCAGGTACTCCAGAGCAGCCCGGTAGCACAGCTGGTACTGATCCTAGAGACACAGAATAAGTTTTGATCAGCACGTAAGGAGGATTATAGCAGAGACAAAGTTGTACAGTAAAGTGGATTTATTTTCATTAGGAACTTCAGGTTCAGTTTATAATGTAAATATGTCACAAACATAAATCCTGTTCTGAAGCTTCCGGCTGACCTTCTGTTGTTTTAAAAAATTGCCCCAAATACCCTGTTAATTATCCCGCTACACAACACTTATATGAACCAAGCCAACCAGCGGTGAGGTGAAACGTGATCATAAAAAGATCTGATTTGGATCAAACCAATTCATTGATAGATAGATTATACAATCGATAATCTTGTTTTCAACACGGTACAGTCGTGGGGACTTAAGTTTCATACTCACTAAGCGATGTGACGTTTGTGGTTTTAAACTCATTGACAAAGTTTTACTGGGTTGCTTTTGCGTTCAGTGGACTGCCCCCTGCTGGTCATGAGATATAATGCAGGTTTAAGGCAAAGTCACTTTTCATATCTGAAGGCTACATCAGAGACATTATAAGGTGGAGGTGTGGAACTAAAGCGGAACAGAAATCTATGGGAGAACTCTGTAAACTCGGCGGTTGTCCCGCCCTGCCCTAACAGACCCATTCAACAGATAAACCAGTAAACATCTGCGCTGTGCATTGTCAGCTGTGCAATGTGGCACAGCTGACAGTTCTGTGTAGTTCTGTGCACTTCGTGATGTCGATCAACATGTTTGTTTATTGCTCTGGCAGGAGGAGCCATAGAGACGTGGATTGTGTCTGCACAGATACTAATGAAGCCACAATGTTGTGTTGCTTTTTGAATTTGTAGATAGAGGTACAGCCAAGATATGTTATTGTTTGGGGAGAATCAAAAAGATGTGTTATATTCTTTATGTGCTGTTTATGACTGTGCCCTTGTGATGAACGCCCCTGCATCACACTGATACCTCTGTCTGCACCATAGCCGGTCTCTGAGTTCGGAGAGTCTTGACGGTCTGGAAGAGGTCGACCACTCCTTCATACCTCATCCTTTCCAGAACGATGCTCAGAGTAATAAACACACCAGTCCTCCCAACACCAGCACTGGTAAACATACATTAACATTATTATACTGAAATGTATCACTTAAAGCTTCTCGTGTCAGATTTTGACAACCAAACCGATTATACAGGTCAAACATACACACGCTCTTAGTTACCTGCAGTGAACAGTGATGGGTCCATCTTGTCCGAATTGCTCTTTAGTTTTATGCACTTGGCCAATGAAGTCAATGAATCCCTCCCCGGTTTTTGGCACTCCTTGCTCTGGCCAATCCGTGAACTGAAACTGCCTGATGGTCCTCGATTGACCATCCTGGTTAATATGCAGGAAAATGGAAAGAAAAAAAAAGATAAATGGCTCACACAGAACGATCCCTGCCTCCCCCACCAGCTGGAAAGAGTGTACGAGTGATCTGCAGTCACATTCCTGCTGCTGCTAAAAGAGAACCTACCCGGGCATCAGTGACTTTGAACTCTCGGAGGATGTACTGAGGCATGTTGTACTCGGCCATCGGGTCCACAACAAAGTACTGGTAACGTGCAGAGCGCTCAGCAGGCCAGTACTGATGGCACTTTTCCTGAAAGATGGAGAGAAGATGATCGCGAAATGCATAACTGACTTGGAGTTTTAACACTGAGACCAAAATGCAACGATTAGGCCTCAGATTAGTGTGAAATGGGCAGTGGCTTCTGTTGCTGTCAGGCTGCTTTTGACCACCACGCTTTTTTGCTTCTGTGTAAGCACCCACAGCACAGCAAACAACTCCAGTGTCTGCTGATAAAGGAAATAAAAGCAGTGTGACACTTCAGCACCAGCTTCTTCGAGGACTTTGATAACACAGAGACTGGACAAAGGCTGACGTGGTGGAACAGGAGCATTCAGTTGAAAGCAGGTCATTGCTGAATTATAGCAAAATGTGAGTATCTGCATGTCCTTATGAATCATCAACACTGCTGTTTCTTGTAACATTTAAAAGTATATGACAATGAACTCTATGCATCGATGTTGTAACATACACAGAGCTGGAGAAATCCTGCATGACATCAGGCAGGCTGTAACGTCGAGCTCAGCTACATGCCCGTCAGCTCAGCTGATCTCACAGCTCGTCCATATCAGCTCAGCCCAGAACTATTTAAGCTGCCAGCCGCTTTGCAACCCACCTCCATGAGCAGCAAATCCATGTTGACATATAAAATCACTGCACATAACAGCCTTTTGTTTTACTGTTTATTATAAGACTGCATATTTAATGGACCTGAGAGGTGTGATGATCAAATAATAGATTCATACCTACCTAAAAAGCAAAAACAGACAAAACAAGAAGTTACAATGACAAAAATAAAAAAATTTAATTAACTTAAATTTTACTGAATAAAAACACGTCTTTCTTCATTTAAGTAAAGCACTATATTTTCTGCATATTCAAATTGTATATTCCACTTTTATACGCACTGATCCAACCATCTTTAGAAACCCATTACTGGATGGTATTTAGGAGTATATTGAACTTTTTGTCAAAGACTTTAAATCCTTGACAAACTTTGTCTTTACCAGTAGTTGAAAAATATTTATCGTACAAAATCCCACAGCCAGATGTTTCAAGCAGAGCCTTATGTGTTACGTACAGATCATTATACTCTTTGAAGTGTCATTCTACTTTGTATTAACAGTAAATTCAGTGTATACGAGTTTTATTCAAACCAGATTCGGCAAAATGTAGAAACATTTCATGCTCCTTAAAAAAGAAAGAAAGCATTTTTACTCATGTTAAAAATATACATGTGTGTATGCTCTGCCCTCCTTTTCCCTGTGGAGCCTTTATCATTACTTTCATTCCAGATTTCTGCTTGATGTATAGAAACGATTCAGATCTTGCATTGTTTTCAGTGCAACGTGACATAAAAGAAGGTGAAGCTGTTTTGTATTACCCGTCCCATCTCTCGGAGTTTGGTGAGCATCACTACGATGGTGGAGTTGTGCTCCCACAGCATTCTCCAGAAGTCCTCTGTGGTCTCGGCTAACGGGCCCTGGGTGGCCATGTAGGCTTTCTGCTGCCTGCAAATGGAAACAGAGACACAGAGCCTGTGTTTACTCCTCTGGGCTGCAGCAGCTCTGCTGCTATTTGGCTTCAGTTTTCTTCCACTTCAGCTCTGCTTCAGAAAATCGCTTTGGGTTTCTTTCTGTAAAGCAAAGTGACAGCAGTTAAATAATCTCACTGTTGCCCACTCATATTATCATGAAATGGACAGAAATCGAAAAGGTTTAGTTTGATCTGTCAAGGCTGCGAGTGAGTTCGTACATGTACAGTCCAATGAAAGCAAAGAAATATCTTTATTCTCATCTTCTTACCTGATTGTGATTCAGTAAAGTAAACCGTGTATGAGTTGCTTAGCCAGATAATCACCAGCTGCCCCGAACTAATTTTACCTGCTTTTTCATGTCAGTTAATGATCGACTCAGTGCTCCCAAAGAGATCTGTGATTTGGTTTTAGGAACTTGGGGGTCCGGGTATTTCGGGTGATGACCGACTTTGCCTGGCTGGTTCTGAGACACGTAAGCTGATAAATAATACCTTAGAAAACAAGAACTTGCTCCATTAAAATGTGCAATGGATCAAGTACATCTGCCTAAAATGCTCATTATGAATTACAGTCATGGTTTTTCACAATTCGTGACACTGCAAAAATAAAAGAGTTAATTTAGCTGCGGCTTCACCACATCCGGACAAGAGTTCTGGGCAATGACATCCCACAAGTGTTGAACGAACCTCTCAGGTGTTCAATATTTAATTTCACATACCCCTTTAAAGAAAATTTGATGAGTCAGCTGCTTGCTAATGTGTGCGCTGATTTTTAAATAGTTTTGCTTGAACACATAGCCTTTTTAACAGCTCTGTTAAAATGACAGATGCCACCCCAGCTGCTCCGCCGGCTCCAGGCGATCCTCTGCAGCTGGACACCACCAGGGGGCAGTGTTGACGCATATAACAGTGGGCCTAGGTAATTCCCACAGACTTGCATGCCTGGGTGTGTTTCTGTTATCTGTATATATCAGTGCTCTTGTGTGACACTGGTGGTTGGAGGCTTTGTTGTTTTTGGCTACATGTTTGTCCTCCTCTCACAAGCAGTGGAGCTAATATTTCAATACTCCATAATACAACAACCAAAACAAATATAGGAACGAACGCTGCTTATTTTGATGCTGTCACTTTACCTGCTGAGCGCTGCTGACTGACTGAAGCATTTAACCAGCAGCAGCTGGTTAAAGCCAGATTGTTGATGAGCGCCCAGAACAGTTTGAACCAAATGTTACTAAACTGTAGTAGCCCTAACCCTAACCCTCTAAAACAAAGCTCTGAATATTAGCATATATGCTAATATTCAGAGCTTTGTTTTAGAGACAAGGCTGGAGTTATTCTGCCTTTTTTTCTACTGCCAGCAGAAAATCAAAAGCCAACGTGTATCAGCCCGTCTCTAAGAACTCTCTGGATGTTCATGTTAAGCTGATGTCACTTAAGCCTCCTGGGATTGAATACAAAACTTTGGATGCTGCTTAAAATGTAAATAAAAACAGTGTGCAATCATTTGCAAGTTGGAAGCCTGAAAGCTCCACATTTCTATTCTTGGAGTAGAGTGGCTTTGCATGATGTGCAGTTCAAAATAATCCTTATTTACATTGTTATTGTTATCTTGGCTTAGCCCCCCTTTAAGGCAGCTTGTATCTAAATGGCTGACTAAGGCTTTAACAACATGTGGTGCAGCTTTTGTGACTATATTGATCTAAACATATGTATAATATGTCGTGTTACAGGGATGATCTGATATCGTCGTGTTGGTGTTGATCCAGGATCAACACTGCAAGTGACCAATCACATTGTTGTGACGTTATTCTTTGGCGCGCCAAGCCATTCGTGCATTTATGAAATTCCAGTGTTGCAAGGACAATATCAGTTCTGCTCAGCGTTTATTAAAGGGTCAGGGTCCGTTGATCGGCAGACAGAGGCGGTTTCTTGCAGCTTAAGTACAGTTTTTTGTTTTACGGCGTTTTTTTCCGAAGACGCAAAAGTATGACGTCACAACATTCTGATTGGTCCTGGAACAACATTTACTATGTTGATCTGGGAACAACACCAACACGACCATATCAGATCGTGCCATCATACAGAGCCAAGAGCAGAAAGGGTGCAGCAGAATATAGTCCTTATTTAATACACCATTAACCATGAATTATCGCATCCCTGTGCTGTGTGATGGGGCCATCAGCTTGCAGCACTGCTGAGGTATTATTATTACCAGGTTGTTTGGCTATCTGCCTTCAGCTTCTCTGTTTTTGTTTCTTTTCTAAGGTTGAGTATTTCTCATCTTCCTCACACCACAAACAAATGACGGGCTAATCAAGCACAGTAATAATTTGGTCAGCGAAGCATTTAGTAGTGATTTTGGCACTGTGGGCAGGTGTCGGCTCCTGCTGGACAAAAGAAATTTCCATTTCCATAAAACTTGTCAGAAGATGGAAACATGAAGTGCTCTAAATACCCTGGTACAAGCTGTGTTCACTCTGGACGTGATAAAACACAGTGTGTGAAGGACCAAAAAGCTCTCCAGAGAGTGATCCGTACAGCAGAACGCTGCTGCAGGATTGCTCTCCCCCCGCTTCAGGACACCTACACCAGGAGATGCCGGACTAGAGCAGATACTGAAGGACCCGTCCCATCCTGGCAACAAACTGTTCCAACTTCTGCAATCTGGTAGAAGGTTCAGCATCTTCCGGGCAAGGACAGAGAGACTCAAGAGGAGCTTCTATCCCCAAGCCATCCGTGCCCTAAACACACACACCCGCCCTCTCACATCATCTATAACTGACTGAGTCAGGACTCTTCCAGACACTAAACCAAGGCACAATGTACATTTCAATTCCTTTAATTTTAAATATGTTTATATTGTCTATCCTGTAAAATAGTCAGATGTCTATTCATATTAATGTACAGAATTCACCTGCTTGCTGCTACTACTGCACATTCACCCAGTGTATATACTATATGTATGTATATATATATATATAATGTTCTTCCTCTACACCCCCCCAATTTTTTGCACATGTCGAGGAGCGTGTCAGGCTACATTTCACTGTGTGTTATACTTGTATAACTATGCATGTGACAAATAATAAAGAACCTTGAACCTTGAACCTTGAAGCAAAAAGCACCAGCAGATGACGTGGCATCCCAAATCACCAAAGAAAAGCAGTAATGCAGTTTCCTCTGATTCAGGACTGTGATGGTGTAGCGCCTTTCTTCAAGACACTTGTGTGTGACAGCTTTTAATGTTCCTCACTCTACTACTTACGAAGCGCTCCCAAATTCTTGACAATCCACAAAAATCGGTGGTCATCTGTCGCTTGGGTTTAAGATCTTTTCATGAATATACTCGCTGCAAACAGCCTTTTGAGCAATGACCTTCTGTGGCTTCCTCTCCTTGCAGAGGGTGCTGATGATCATCACCTGGACAACTTTCAAGTCAGCACACTTCCCTGTGGTTGTGTCTGCTGAACTAGACTGACAGATATGTGGTTCATATTATTTGAAAAGCAGCCAAAATATTTCAATAATTTGAGATACTAGACTTTGGAATTTCTTGAGCTACAAGCTATAATCATTGAAATACCTCAGTTTGTATGTAATCAGTATAGCATATGTGAAGGTTTATCTTTTTGAAATTATGAAAAAATATGAACCAGTTAAAATTCTACATGAAGCAAGAGTTTCAGGCATACTCGCTGACAGAAACGAAAGCCAAATCAATAACCCAGAAAAGTTAATAGATTTTCCATTAATATTAGACAAATTAAAGCATTTCACAGTTAATAGTGAGAACCACAATAGAGTTCTATCAAAAGTTAATTAAGCAGGAAGCAGATTTCACTGTTGTAACTTTTGACTCATGCAGAGTTAATAACATTGTGGTGTAAGCACTCGCTGCCTTTGTATCTCGCAGCGCAGTAAGTAGGAGAATAACGAATGGTGATACACAAAGACGTCACCGGGCATGTCCACTAATCATCATAATCACGTGCATTCCCCTCACCTTAATCTATCCTAATCCATGCTTCGCTCTTTAAAGGCTGAGCTCAGTGAGGGATGGAGCTCCCGAATCTCACTCCGCTCTTAATTACCGACACAGGAATTAGAGAGGAATTACACGACACCCCTGCCTCTTTCCGTTGCCTCCCTTTGGTGGGGGGTACTCAGGGGACTTCATTAGGTGCTGGGAGCCAAAAACAACATACACCCACCCTGCATGTAAGATGGGAAGTCCTGACTCAGCCACTGCTTTCTGTGAAAGTGCGCTAGAAAACTTTCAATAAGTCTTTTCATAAAAGAGCCCGTGATTAACGTGACGTGTGACAATGTCGGTGCTAATGTTGTGAGAGACATGTGTACTGTTTATGAAATCACATTGTGACGTGTTGGGCTGTGACTAAGAGTCTGAGGGACACTTTATGCTGCTAGGCTAATGTCAGAGTCACTCTGTTTATCGTGTTTCTGGACAAAGATTGGGGAAGAGATGTTAGAAAATAAACATCATGTTGTCTTCAGTTTGGTAACTGTTTACCAAGGCCGTGCATTGAGGGCACTCATCAATAACTTTGGAGTCATTTTCCAGCTGAAATCTATACAAACACAAGTTGTTTTTTGCAGCCGACGACCTGCTGGCCATTTCAAAGAATTTGATATTCATCTGTGCTTATAAATAAACAGCACTGTCTAAACATGCTTTCTACACCTGAAGTAAGGGGAGGTGACGGACTGTGATAGTGCTCAGCGATGCATCTCGCAGCTGTAAGCTTACTGTAAACAGAAGACAATGTTAGCAGACTGAGAATCATCACTCGCCGTCATAACTTTCAGAATAAAATCTGAGCAACAACATGAAAGTTTGTGAGTTGAATTTTAGCCCAAAGCCCAAGTGACCAACTTTGTATATCCTGAACCATATCATCATGCGATCATACGAGTTCTGGCTAAAGCTGTGGAGACGATCATGACTCGTGTTGTCACATGATCTTTTGGGCATCGTGCTACATCGTAGAGCTCCAAATGCAGACTACAGGAATAAGTAATATGAAGCATATAGACTGCATGTTCTTCAAATCAGCGTTACTTTGAATCTCAAATTCATGCATGTCTCTACTTTACTATGTTTTATTGCAATGTCAGTGTTTCCTTGATCCAAGAAGACAATAAAATCAACTTAACCTAAACTGTTTTCATTATGTTTTTGCACATAAATGTTGATAGAAATAAGAAAAGGACTGATCAGATTTCTGGCCTTCATACTGAGCTATGATCACACAGGCATTAAGCTGAGTGTCTCCTCAGTTCATTTCCCTTCTATAAAGGTAGAAAACCCTCAAGGTTTCTTCATGTCCAAAGACAGAACATGGACACAGACGGCAGTCGCGTCGTGGACCTGTTGGTGTAATCAGTTCATTTCTCTGACATGTCACTGATCTCAAACAGCCTATCCATTCACAAGAGGTGGAAAAAGTGGGAGAATGAACAGGCCTGTCAATAAAACCAATTTGTTTTGACAACTGACACAACAAAGGGATGTGAGGCGGTGAAACACCGGACTCCATGTCAGCCTGTAATTTAATGCTGTCAGCTGCCACAGAGAAGGTCCAACCCCCGGCTCATTAGAGGTGCAGCAGCTGAGCAGAAATGCGCCGCACTACTCATTTCTGTGAAGTGATTTCTGTGGGCTCACCTGTACCCGTCGATGAAGCTGGCATTGATGTAGTCAGAGCCCTCCACCCCTCTGATCGGCTGCAGGCAGACGCGAGTAGACTCGAAAGGCATGATGTTCACCAGGCGGTTCTTGAATTTGTTGCACGGCAGGTTGGCACTGATGAATCTTGAGGTATGTGCTTTAGAGTTGGCCAGTTTCTGCAGAGACAGAAGAAAGGACAGGTGATTGCAGCTACACGGCAGCATCCACTGTCTATCATCTGCCTCTGGTCTTTATAGTGCTAATCCAGTGTGGCGCGTGAGCAAGGTTGTTAAAGGGCACGAGGAGCTAACGTTCGTACTGATGCACGAGAATGATGCACTTTGAGACCATCCTTTTTTTCTCTGACTTCAAATGAATGTCGGATACTGTTGTGTGTTGAAGCTCATCCTGAAGATGCTGAAAAGTCTAAACAAATCCTGAAACATTTAGTGTGAGCCGACAGGCCTGTGACAGTGCAGATCAAACCAGAGAAATAAGATGTTTGGATGCAAACCTAGCTGCGTGAATGATTTCATTCTCAAATTTTTCTTTTCAGTTTCGGTGGGGAGGAGGTGTTTCTTTACTGACAGGCACTAATGTGAGACCTCTGCACTGCAAGTGCAAGTGCAGTGAACTGAGGATCAAAACCTAATCACGCTCTGTTTAGATTTACAGCCACCCTGCTTGCATTAAAAAGCAACATAATACTGAATGCTGGGCATTCCCCCTGCTGCAGGACAGAAGCTGCTTAAGCCACTGCACTTTTGCTAAAGCAGTTGAAGACAGTGGATTGCTGCAGATCATCCCGTATAAAACTATCTAACCTGGGACGACCTTCTCTCCCGGTTTGTCCTGGCTCTTGCTCTCCCTCTGCAGCTCCCTCTACTCCAGCCTCATCAGGAGCTCAGAAGTTAAGCTTTAACAACTTCTCCTCTGAGAAGAAGGAAAATCTTCCTTCTGCCTTTGCTTGCACTTGAGTATTACATTTACATGTACAAACCAGGCCATGATAGCTATACTTTTACTGACTGCAATGTTGTAGTAACTGATTCGGACTTTATGATTTAAAATCTACCTAAAGTAGGCTGGATGGATATGAGTCTTGCAGATCCCCGTATTCCAGGGGACTCCAATTTAAATAAACAAAAATGCTTTTACCCTCATGGCATGGTTGTGTCAATGATCCATCCACCCATCCCCAAAACCGGTTTAATATTTTTCTCTAGATGCATTAAAGTGTTTACATGTAGTGAATCTGACTCTGAGACTACTACTAGCACTGCAGTCATTTAAAGCTCATTTCTTTTATTCTTAATTTGCACTGAAACATGGTAACACACAGTGTGTGTACTGTACATTGTTATGGACTGACCTCTAGTTTACTAGCGGACAGAAATGCAGTGAGTTTGCACAACAGAGTGAAAAATCCCAACAGAAGGTGTTTGGGTTGGACTCCTATCACCTTCTCCTCATTGATGATCCTGAAAAGCCTGTAAGAAACTAAAGGTGCAGCTGCTCTCTCATCTTTTTCCATGACTTAAAGTGTCTGTCATTGAATCCAAGCACAGTCGAGGCAGTTACTGTATGTGTTTAAAGTGCTTCCTTAAATATACTGAGTGCACAAGTCCAGATCTGCTCACCTTAAACTCCAGTTCCATAGCTGTCACCGCCTCTCCAGCGGGCACCTGGGTGAGCTTCTGGATGTGGGCGTACAGGTTGCGGGCAGGGACTTCTGTGTTGCCACAGACTGCAGCTTCCAGCAGGGCCTCGTGGACGAATATGTACTGATCCTCTGTCTGCACCATGTAGTTCCTTTGAGCTCGCATGCACGTCACATGACCGTATATGTCCACCGACTTCTCGTGTTTCATCCTCTCCAACATGGCGTCAATCACAATAAAGCAGCCCGTCCGGCCCACACCGGCACTGACGGGAGCACAGAGAGGAAACACAGGCGTCAGACCAGAGATCCCTGAGCGCTTCACATCTTTCCCCTGACCACTGTGGCATTTCCACGGGCCGGGAACAGCATCGAAATCCTCATGAATACCAGTCCAAACCAGTTACAAATGGGTCCTCGTGCCTCCATAAAGATTCACTGAGAGACGAGGCTGGCCTTTAACATTATGGAGGCAAGGAGGGGCTCATTGATTCCACTTTTATGTCATTGGTTGATCAGGGTGATTTCGTTTATATGCCTGCTTGCTCACAACGCTTACACGTTCTGGATTTGTCTGTCATGGCGCACAGAGATTCACGATGGACCTTAGAGTCTCTACACCTCATTGAATATTGCTCGGCTTGGATAGGCTGCTTTGTCCTTCTGGAGACACAAGCATCAGTAAAATCTTCTTTTACAAGGCCGTTCTTGGTCTTTCTTATTGACCTACACATGAAGGAAATTATAGATGGTTATTGTCTTTGGTTCAAAGACTTATTCGTGGCACCTGCACTTAAAGCTCACATTAAATTATAAAAAAGGCCATTTTAACTGATCTGGAGGCAGATCGTTAAAGTTGCCTAAACTAGTTATTCTGACACAGATCAGCTACGTTTCCTCAGTGTTGAGCTTTACGATCATGCACTTTTTACCTGTTTCTTGTCTTTTGCCGTGTTCATAATTCGTTTATGATACCACTGCTGAGCTTGGCCAGGACACTCTTGTAATAGAGATTTTTAATTTTAACAGTAAAAAGGTAAATAAATGATGATATAAATTTAAAAACTGTGAGTTAATGGAGCTAACAAACTGCAGTCCGATATGGAAACTTGTTTTATCCTATTGTGTGGCAGAAGTAAAGCGATTACTCTACAACCTTGATTTTAGTGAATGGACCAAACTGCTGTGAGCCATTTGAAGAACAGTGCATATCCAAAAATGTATTGTTTTGAACATATAAACAGGACAAGAGCTTTCAGAGTATATCATTGTATTATTTGCCATTATTTGGTTCCATCTACAATGTTGTGCTGTGGACGACGAGGCCCACAGATTGCACCGTGAGCACTGCAGGATGTCAGGGTTACAGGATGACTGTGGGTTTTAAAGTGCAGCTCAGGACCTCTGCATACGTGCTCATGTACTTATTGTGTTATAAATAAAAATACCTGCAGTTTATATCTAACATCCCCTTATGGGAATATATGAATTCTGGATTTGTGCTGCAGAATTGGAAATGGAAAAGCCAGATACGGTTCTCTGACTTTATGGAAATGTAATATCTGTTCCATAAGGAAGAAATATATTTGCTTTTTGTGTCTAAATTTGTACAGTATAAGCAGACCAGTCATTTGAGATGCAGAAAAAAGAAGAAAAATCTATTTCCTGCTCGCCTTAGAACAGTTTCCATCCTTAATGTTAATAAATGGATATTTTTTTAATCACTGTTATTTAATTATAAATTGTTAGTTAACAAAATTAACAAACATAATAAAGTGTAGTAGTTATTAACTTGTTTGTAGAACATTACTGTAAAACTGCATCTGATTATTAAAATGATAAAAAAGCAGTTTCTGTATTTTTTAATTTTATTGACTGTTAAATACAAAATAATGAAAGTTCCTGAACAGTTAATATAAGGTGAGAGTGCAAAATGAAACCATACATTTTAAGATTGTACCTTTTATGTTGTAACTGGTGTTTTATGCAGGTTGATAAAAAACGGAGGAAACAAACATCCAAAAGCTGCCGCGGCACATGGGAGTCCCTGACGACAGCTATGTGTCACTTCCTGTTTCTACACAACCTTCAGCAGTGTCCGTTTGGAATTTTAAGCTGACTTTGAAAGGACGGCAGAGGAGAATGAAATCGCGAGGGAACAGTTCGTTCATATGATGCATTCTTCATGCGTTCAGCATGTCGTGACATTAAAACGAACCTTCGCTGAGAGCAGACTAATGAAGAAGAACGAGTTCTGCTGGCCAAGAGCCGCATAAAAGCGGAAACATTTCCAGGACAAAGAAAAGCGTATAAACGATATTATTGGTTTTTTCCTCCCAATGCAGCAGATGGCCCCGCCCCTCCCTGACGCCGGTCCTGCCACAGGCTTCTTCCTGTGAAACGGGAGTTTCTCCTTCCCACTGTTGCCAAGTGCTTGCTCACAGGGAATCATCTGATTGTCAGGCGTTTCTCTGCATTATTGTCACATGAAGCACCTTTAGGCAGCCGTTGTTCTGATTTGGTGCCATATAAATCTGGTGGAGAAGTATAGATGTTAGAGTCTGTGTGTTTTGCTGGTGTCCTTACTTTGCAGGCTTAGCTTTGTGTTTGGGTCTTTCTGTATTTTAGTATTCATAGTTTGGACTCTGATACTCACGGACTGGCTTCTTTTGTTTGTTTGTGATTTTGGTTTATTCCATTCTTATCACCCTCAGTGTTTCCTCACTGTATGTTATGTTGTAGTGTGATGTTTGTTTAATAGTCCTTCTTTTGGCTATTTCCTGATTTATTTTGTCTTTCTGATAGTTTTACTTCTCCTGTCCTGTGTTCAATTATCCATGATTATCTCATGTGTAAATCTATAATCAAGCCCTCCCCCTTTATCCATGTCTTAGCATTTATCTACCCTCCCTGTGCGGCTTGTTTGTGTATTTCGTCTTTCCCCAGTGGACTTACTATTTTTGGTTCTGTGCATGAACCTAATAAATGTGTTTTTCTGTTTTACCCCTGCCTGCTTCTGAGTCCTGCATTTGGGTCCCTTTTCCTGCACTATATGACAGCAGAAACAGGAAGTGACATCCATCCAGCATAAGGGACTCTGTTCCCTCCATTTAAAGAGAAATAAACGACATTTTTTGTAAAGTGAAATAATGCGTTGTTGGCGATTCTTTTGTAACAGGAAGGCTGGACAGTATTCTGATTTACAGAATCAAATACATTTCTGTTCATTTGACCAACTTAACTCATTCTTGTAAACAGATCAATGGATTTCAATTATAAACCATGTTGTATGTGAACACATGAGACCATGATGAACAACACACTGCCACATTAGGGCGCAGAGTAAAATATGCACATTAGTTGTTTTTCTCCAGTTTCCTCCGTTTGCTTTGCTTTTTCTTTATTACAGGTTGGAGACTAAATGCAGTATGAGCTTTAGATACTGAAGTATTTCAGTGCTACACTTTGAAATCACTGATCCCACTTCTTCACAGAAGAAGTGGTGTGAAGGTCCTTCAGACAGCAGGCAGGGAGCACGCTGCCTACAGAAAACTGGACTGGCTTTTCAGATCCTTGCCCCTGTTGTTCCTTTGATAAGTCTGGTTTAAAGCTCCCCAGATCAGCTGGGTTGGTAAACATGAGTGTGCTGTGTGCAGCGTACGAAAACACTTTGAAGGATTTCTGTTTTCTTTCGGCACAACACATTTTCTTTGATGGGTTAGCTGTGAGGAACGTTCAGCACTTAAAGCAAAGTATTTAAACAGAATCGCTGCTCTTGGCTTAAAGGTGTTAGTATGCTTTGAACAAACTAGGTTGCGACTTATTGTCCAAGCATGTCTAAAGGCAGATTAATGTTTACACTGGAAATTGGGGTGAAAAGGCTTCTGTGAGAGCTTCCTCCAGGCTGCATCTCTGTCTGCCTGATTCACCTCTAGCACTTTGGTGTATTTGCATTTGTGTTCATAGAGAAATAAATTGCACAAATGCAAATGTCAGGCACGGACGTACCAACAGTGTTTAAAACTCACTTTTATCTTCGTTCTAAAATGATTGCGCCGTAGCTGTGAAAAAGGTTCAGCTGGTTTTGTAACAAGATCAATGTTAGCCTGAGACGAAGTTAAAAAATATCAGAAATTTAGGATAATATCTGACTTCAGCTACAACGTTCTCACACAAGACTTGAATAAATATATGAATGAATTACTAAACAATACAGATCAACAGATGGAGACAGAAAACAGGCAAAGCAAATAAGTATATTAAATCAATATCACACAGAGTAGCTGTGAAAACCTTGCAAGATGCAAGAGCGTGCATGTCCCTTAAAGGGGGCTGGTTACTGGTTTGAGAGTTGCATACACGAAGATGGTTTCCAGCAATGTCACATGATCTGAAACAATAGTTTTTGAGCATGCTGCAGTATTTGTGTTAATGTAAGATAAGGTCTACCTGCAGTGAACCACCATGGGTCCGGCATCTTGAGGATTGCAGGACTTGATTCTGCGTAGAAAGGCCAGTGTTGGGGTCGGATACTCAGGCACTCCATGGTCCGGCCAAGCCAGAAACTGGAACTGTCGAACTTCTCTTTTTTCACTGGAGCCATTCTGTTGACACATTTACTCAAGTTTGTCACTCATAAAAACAGACCCCAACACACTAATGTGATTATGAGGCTAAAAGATTCACTGGCGTAAATTCAATTATCTGAATGATTAATGCAAGAACTTCTTATTATTTGTGCATCACAAATGCACTCTGAGCTGCACTCAGAAGCACACAAAGTGTCCTTGGTGTATGATGACGTTTTCATAGCTTTATCAGTGACAAAAATAATATCAGGCACAACACACTTTTCCCCCCAATTCAGGCACCAAGGCCACAATCTGCTTAGACCAGGGGTGTCCAAGCTCGCGGTCCATTTTTAATTAGCCCGCAAGTAATTTCATAAATAGAATAGCCGCACTTGAGTGTATTGCACTTCTTAATTTTAACACCAGGGGGAGCTACTGTTGATCAAGGCAGTTGCTCCACCAAAAAGGACATCACAGAAGAAATTTACCCCCAAGTTACTAAACATGACAGAACCAAAGAAGCAAAAGGTAGAAAGTGAGTGCAGAAAATTTCAGACACGGTGGGAGAGTGAAGATTTCTTCAAAGAACTCAAGGGGAAGCGTGTCTGTTTGATCTGCACTGAGACTGTGGCAGTTATGAAAGAGGATAATGTACGACGTCATTATGAAACCAAACATCAGGCCTGTGCATCCTACACTGGTGCTGAGCGAGAGCAGAAAGTAACTCTCCTGCAGGGTCAGCAGCAGTATTTATTTCGTGCTCAAATTGTCCAGGAAAAGGCTCCAATAGCCGCTATGAGGTCGCCCAACTCATCGCGAGACATGGCGAGCCTTTTTCAGATGGAGACCTCATAAAACACGGCCTCGTTAAAGTCACCGAAATAATGTGTCCGAAAAAGTGCAGAACTTCAACAACGTCAGCGTGTCCAGAAATCCAGTCGTGCGACTCACTGAAGACTCGTCAGCCAACATTAAACTGCAACTTTCTGATAAAGCTGTGCTTTTGATTTTTACTCCATCGCAAGCGATGAGAGCACCGATGCTCAGACGCCGCACAGCGGCTAATTTTTTTGCAGGGAGTGGACGAGAGCACGAGCGCTTTAAAAATATATTCCACAGTACCCGTGTGTTAATAAGCATGCATGTGCAGATACACATGCTTCAAATATCAATAATGCGCATCAATTCTGTCACTACCCTGCTTTTGCACCACTTTCTTATCTGCATTTTTCTTGTTAACACACAGAGTAATACAGTAAAGTTAAGGTTATATACCTAATTTCTAGTAAGTGGCCCCGCCCCTCCTATATTTTTATGTATGTGGCCCTCAGTGAAAAAGGTTTGGACACCCCTGGCTTAGACTCTTAAGTACTTTCTAGACAAGAAAGAATATTTTCTATCCTTTTAAAGCTGCGGAAGCCTTAATCAGCACGGAGTGCTGCAGGGATGACCTTTTTTGTAGGCCAACCCAGAAGGTAGCATGTCTTTAGCATCCCAATGACTCCTTTGTCAGTTCCTTATAAAAAAGTATGTGGCTTTTGGATTATCAGAGAAAAAAGGTTCTGTGGGAAACACTAGTTTATAATACTTGCACACTGGTGAGCAGAATTAGGTCCATGAGCTAAAGACATTTTGTGATTTGCAATTGCGAGAGTTCAGCAATCTGTTTGTTAAGTGATTAAATTATGATCCTGTTTCCATTTTTCCTCGGATGTATGAATGTTAAATTTTACCATGACACCTGGAGCAGCAGTCTCAGATCATTTTACTGAAATTGAAAGAATTTGGACTTGTTTTCGTTCTTTGTTATGCTTCAGTTTTTATTTGCTTTTGAACAATGAAGGATCTGGAAACGACTGATGAAGCGAAACTTAACAAGCGGATAAAAAATGACTCTCCTTTGTTTGCTGAAAGTAAACTGAATATACAGGGTGAAAAATACAGATACTTAGTTTATTAGTATTGGTGTTTAATTTTTCTACATATTTTTTATATGTCTGGGTCTACTGTTAGTGAAAAATAGTGACTGATGTGATTTAACCTCCACCAGGCGGTTGCCAAACTGCATAGCATAAATTTAGAGATAGGTTACAGTTAAGCCGTATGCTAACGAAGCTTAATCTCAACAACAGAAGATTCTAACTTTTAAGCAATTTTCAAACAGTCCAGTGGACTAAGATGTGACGCTGGCTTCCAGCCATACCACCCTGAGCACACCCAGTCTTGTCTGAGCTTGGAAGCTAAGCTGGGTTGGTCCTGGTTAGTGTTTGGATGGGAGGTCGCTTGTGCAGCTGTGGGCTCAGTAGACAGAACTGGTCGTCTACTAATTGGAAAGTCAGAGGTTTGATCCCTGATCTGTCAAAGTATCCTTGGACCAGATACTGAACCCTGAGTTGCTCCTGGTGATCTGTGTAACTAAACGAATCAACAGCAACATGGTGGTCTTACCTTATAGAGGGCAAACGTTCTCACACTGTACGTAGCCAGCTCCAGCGTGTCCAACATGGTCACTTGAATCATCCCGTACGTCTCCGTGCCTCGACTGGGCCAATACTGGTCACATTTCACCTACAAACAGAGACAACGTAAAGGACTATTTAGCTCTACAACCAGTGGTGTCGGAAGTAAATGGTAAATGGCCTGTATTTATATAGCGCTTTACTAGTCCCTAAGGACCCCAAAGCGCTTTACATATCCAGTCATCCACCGATTCACACACACATTCACACACTGGTGATGGCAGCTACATTGTAGCCACAGCCACCCTGGGGCGCACTGACAGAGGCGAGGCTGCCGGACACTGGCGCCACCGGGCCCTCTGACCACCACCAGTAGGCAACGGGTGAAGTGTCTCGCCCAAGGACACAACGACCGAGACTGTCCAAGCCGGGGCTCGAACCTGCAACCTTCCGATTACCAGGCGAACTCCCAACTCTTGAGCCATGATCGCCCCATGGAGTAGGTGTTGATAGATTGGTTGGTGCAGTAACTGCAGTGATGTGACTGCTGTGCTGGACTCAGCTGGTGAAAAGAGAGAGCTGGAGATGACCTTACCTTTGGCCTCAAGCTGCAGACAGTGACTGAGAGAACAGGATCATATATGCACATGACTGAAACAAGCACCTTTCTAACGGTGTCTGGTCTCAGGTAATACCTTGGTATCCCTCTGGAAGCTGAAAGAGGGGGCTGGGGAGAGGGAGGTCTGGGCATCTCTTCTGAGATTGCTGGCCTGTGACCTGGACACCGGAAATGTGACCCTTATTTGCAGTGTTTTTGGCCACCGTTGGTCTAAACGAATGGTATTGACCCAGGGTAAGTTTGGCTTCCTCAACTACGTTCCACTGTAGACGGTGGAACTTGTGGTATTTGGGGCACAGCACATTTACCAGGGCTATATCAAAGCTAAAAGTACCATAAGTAGTCTAGATTAGGCCCTGACGTACATGCCATTGGGATACCTTTTTTATCACATGAACTACCGGCAATATCAGGAGAGTTGGGTCGGGTGAAAGCCAGATTTGTTTTTTCCTACACATCAGGAAACAGCCCGTGTGATGGATATTTAGATTCTCTAATGTTCCTCCATCAGATAATCACGAAAAAGCTCAGGGTTGTGATGCCTGTGTGGAAACAGCGTCTACAGAAAGTAGTAAAATAAGTCCTTATGCATGCTACATGTAAGGATGGAGAACTCAACAATGCTCTCACCTGATTCTCCTGATATATTCATTCCTATATGAAAATGGATTTGGAAAAGGACTCAGTGATTACATTACACAAGATTAGACCATAATCATAATCTTAGACCCTCACAACCCCAAGCTTGCAGGATGATTTACTTCACATGGCCCCCAAATGATTATTGCCAAGGAAGCTGCATGTAATAACTAATAAGAGAAACTTGTTGGTGTGTCTAATGGCAGCCTCTGATTTTATAGTCTGTAAATAATGGCAGGATGTGTTCATTTGATTGTGGGCCATGCACATTAGCAGGAAGTGTGGACAGACAGGTTGTCACCTCTGCTCTCAGGTTAGAGAGCATCTAATATTTGCTGCGCCTCTGGTTGAACCACAGAGGCTGTTATTGGCTCTGGCAGAGGGCTGATGGCCACTGTCACAAATAGTAATGGCACAGTGCTGTGGCACTCAGCTCTGCCCTGTGGTTGTGGAGTTATTAACAGTGAGAATGAGGGTTTCACATCATTACTCACATGAACGCCGTTTCTACCCTGCTACCTGCCATGTGATTCCACAGGCGGCGTGCTGCTGCTGAGCCAAGCTCATCAGTACTGCGAGTGAGCTACGTTCAGAGCAGTAAATCAGAGGATCGACAATCCTCTTCCAGCCTCCTGTCTTATATTCTCCTGTTTGTGATGTATTTTCCATTGTGAGAGAATCAATGAATTCCATCCAGACAGCAATGGAGCAAAATATTAGAAAATATATCAACTGTGCTCTGATATTCTCAAATTATGGGTTGCAGCAAGCCACCACCTCTCTCCCTCCATCAGCTGGGATGATGCGTTTTTGTATGACTACAACATATTGTGTCAAAATCAATAATGCCTCTTTGAAATTTTCATCAAACCCAAAAACCACTTTATTTGTAAGACATTTTGCTCTACATAAAAGACAGGTTCACCTCCACTGCACCTGCACACTAACATGATAGTTAACAGGCAATGGAAGTAAAAATGAACATCAATGCTGAAGGAGAGGAGGAAGACCGAGTGCTTCGTTACTGAGTTTAAAGTGAGGCCCAATGTGTGTCACGTTGTATCCACATACCAGCAGAGATACGGAGCTGTGGATGTGAAACGTCCTTGAACTGAAAAGAGGCATACAGCTATAGCACAATATGTTTCTTCAAGCCAAATCTCAAAGTGATGGAGCTCGAAAAGGAGCAACACAAACACTGAGCAGGGATTTTTAGTTTTTTTGCAACTGATGCTCTTTTTGGGGGTCGCTTCGTGTCAGAAGTTTGTATGGTACACATAAACTCGATGGTTGAAGACTTTTTTGTAGTAGCAGAACATTGCACTGATAAGCACTCCTGCCTCACAGGAAGAAAGTTCCTGAAGGTGCTGCTGTGCAGATTTGCTCTGCCCGCTTCCTCACACAGTCCACAGATATGGTGTCAGGCTCATTGGTGATTCTTAATAGGTCACATGCAAGAGTCTATGCTTGTCTGTCTTTCTGCATTAGTCATGTGATGGGGACTATCAGCTTGCCCAGAGTGTATTTCACCTGAACAGCCAGGATAGCCTCCAGGAGATATGGTCCATGTGAGCCTAAGCTTGATAATTAGGAAAGTGAATAGATGGATGCCAGAGGACTAAAGCAGTGGTTCACACACAGTCACTTACGTGTCAGGCAACTTTGTGCAGTTTGTAGTTTTCTAAATTCAACTGGACATATTCCTTTAACTTTAACTGGCAAAAACTTCATGAAGTTCTTCGTAAATAAAACTGCAGCTATTAGTGAAAAAACATTTACAGCTGTCAAGTACAGCAACTGTAATAACTCCTGATATTTACTTATATTATAACGTTAAAGATTTCTTCCTCTAAACCATCAATGTGGCTTTCAGACCCCATTCCTAGAAGACCGCTCAAAGAAGCTTCCCCATTAACTATTGTTTTTAAATTTTAAATATGATGAATCTATTGCTTAATGGGCCACAGTCCACGGGCTTTTAAGGTGCTGCTAATTAAACCGTTACTTTATAAAAGCTGTGTAAGCTAACCACAGACCAATTTATAACCTTCCTTTTATTTCAAACGTTTTTGAAAACGTAGCTGACAAACACCGAACTGATCAGCTGCAGACAAATGTTTGAGTCCGATTCAGAATTCATCTCAGCACAGAAACAGCATGAATGAAGGCTACAAATGATCTTCTTTTGAGAGTCTTCTTCATATACGTTATTTTTGTAATTATGTACCGAACCACATATATATTATATATGGAATCACAGGGTTATGTGCTGGGACCAGGTCCACTTACATTATACATGCTCCCAGTCTGGATTTGGGAGACAGCCTCTCTACATTTAAGAGGCTTAAAACTTTTCTTTTTAGATAAAGTTTATAGTTAGGACTGGATCACATGACTCTGCATGCTCTCTTAGTTGTGCTGCAGTGGGTCTAGGCTGCTAGTGTTCTGTTATTGTTTATTGTTCTCTGTCTGCATTAGAGCTGCAAGTCTGCAAACATACACAGCCAAAGTGCACAGGATGCTACAAGCAGAGCGTCCCTGCATGTTAGACAGAGGTGTGTTTAGTGTTTATTATGTGTTTTTGATTGGAACTGCTGTAAAACAGACAGAAAACAACGTTTTATTTCCATTAACACCAGCCTCTCTCCTTACTCGCTGTCTAGCCTGCTGAACCTCAGCCACTGTCTGTCTCTTATCCACCACTCCAGATTTGAAATTTGACATCTTTCCCACTTTTTGTGCTTCTATTCATCTGGTTTTGTCTAGGTCGCTTGGTTTTGAGGTTGTTCAGGTTGTTCTGGTTTCAGATGCCCCACGCAGGAGATTCTCCCAGAGTATATAACTTCTTTAACCCCCAAAAAATAGCCCTGAAGGAAGTACCAGAAAAAGCTTTATGTTTAGGTTCAGGCCATAAAAAACTGTCTGAAATGAACGGAGCTCACCCGTGACTTCTCCTCCAGGCGAGTCATCATAACGATGGTGCATGTCCTCTGCTCCCATACCATCCTCCAGAAGTCACTTAGCGTCTCTGGCAGCGGACCCTGGGTAGCGATGTAAGCGTTCTGTTTCCTGTACCCGTCAATGTAGTTGGCATTTATATAGTCACTACCTGGAACTCCTTAAGCAAGAAGCACAGTTGGACATAATGAGCAAACAAAAACAAATGGCAGCAGATCAGAAAATGGAGGTCGACTACTGCCTGTTTCTCACCGTCCACGGGTGTGAGGATGACCCTGGAGTGGTCGTAAGCAATAACATTTGCATAACGGTTCTTTGGCTTGTTGACCTCCAGGTTGGAGTGCTCCCAGGTGAACTGCTGTCCTGGATCAATAGACTGGACACACAAGCGTTGGGAGTGAGAGGTGGGTGAGAGAGCATCTTTACTCTTCTTTGAGAGACGAGTGCAGGCCGATATATGTGACATAAATTCATCCTCCCTCCTTCAGCCTGCAGCTCCATCACCTGGTTGATCTTTAAGCCCCTGAATCCACATTCCACTCCTAAAATCTCATCCACCCACCTACTGGCTCGGTGTGTGGTGAATCAAGGAAAGCACTGAGGTGAGGTTTAGGACAATGGCCTTAGACATGTCTTTTTCCTCATATGAGACTGAACGATGGGGACCACTTGCATCATATTTAAAGTGAAGAGATAAGGACCTGTGTTCGATTTTATTTCTCGGTACCAACAGTAAGGCAGAGGCAGGAAAGCAGTCAAACTCTAGTGAGATGGGGTCGCTGTATTATATGAGCCGGCTGAAAAGCACCTGTGAGCAGAGGTAGAGACGCAGAGACTCACAGGAGAACAGCAAAACAAGTTACTGCTGAAGCCTAAATTATGCAAAAGTATAATGATCAGAGGCTCAGGAATGACTCATCAACTACTTAAGCTGCATAATTGAATTTGCTGAAATATGTAGTGCAGAGTCACTGCTTCAGGTGATATTTCAAAGCTGAGCAGGATGAAGTCAGTGAGTAACTACATTATGTTTGCTACCCTGATATCAACCTTTAGCTACATCATCTTGTCGGAACAATTTCATTGGACAATTTACGTATAGATTTGAAACAGCAGTTGAATGCATGGTTGGGCCAACAGAAAATATCATGTCAAAAGGAAATTATTGGATTACTAAGCGATGTTTATTGAGTCGAACCAGGTGCATGAAGAAGGCACAAATACTTCCAGCAACACATAAGAAGGGCACTAGAGAGCAAGGTCACATGTGCTGTTTTAACGAAGCTCTGCAGAAAGTCACTGTTTTTAACGACTCCACTGAGCGGCTTTTTGTTTATGCAGTCGCCCAACAAAGAAAGAACCTCAGTTTAATGTGGGAGGAAACACAAATCAAATGAACAAAGTTCATTTTGACCTGATGAAGAAACCAGTGTCAGCTTTATTTGTTTTTAAGTTGCTGCCTAATCACCCGGATGGCTATTAGTTGGGGTTCAGTGACTTTGACAGGCGGACTTGAGGAACCTGCCAGTCTTTCAATTAGCGTGCGAGCCGTTCTGCCTCCTTTACCTCTGCTGCACTCGTGAGCTGATATGAACCAGGCAGGTTTACTGCCTGTTAACAGTCTCTATCGATTGCTGGCTGTGAGCACAGGCACAGGTTTAACTGAAATGGCATTCTGCATACTGTTATTCTTGATTGATCTTTTATGCTCCAACTGCTTATCTCCCATCACCTGGAAAAAAAGAAATCTCACACACACACTTGTAAATAAACACACAGATACCGATGCACGGGAAAAATGAATCGGTGGCGAGGGCTCTAATATCCTGCTGCTTTTTCTCTTTCTGACTGGCTGCATAGCTGCTCAGCGCTGCGCTCTACAACTGATAATAATGACAATGGGGAAACAGGTTGAAAGCACATCTTATTTAACAGCCTGTTAGGTAAGGCTTCCAGTACACTGCACTGACAAACCACTCACATTACTGCTAATGTGCTCCGCCTACATGTAGATCAGTTACTGCGATGACAGCGTAATCACTATCTGCGCTTCTACAAACAAAAAAACAAAGCAGGTAAACACAGAGAGGAACAGGCCTCTGTGAAGCACATGCATGTGACAGGGTTAGCTCACACTCAGTGTGTGCAGATTTAGTGGACTGCAATTTATAACTGATTTACCTTTAATACACTAAATCCCCCCAAACGGCACAGGCACACATCTATTTTATTTCACACTGTTGTTCAAACATACATAAATGTGTTCTTTGTTCACATCTTCTACAACCAGGGTTTTCCAAGCACGCCTTGTTTGCTAATTGCAGCCCTCAGCGATGTTTTGTGCGGCTTACAGCTGAATGGAAAAAGAAACTACTATGAATGTCATTCAGTCAGAGTTAAAGTCACATAAATTCATGATTACGAATGAGTACATTTCAAACAATCTAACCTCGGTAGAGGTTTAAACACTATCTATGTACAGGAAAACTGGTATTGGCAACATAAACCATCAAACATTAGCCACAAGTAACACTTACAAAAACCAAATTCCAAATCTAAAGTGATTAAACTGACCAAAGACATCATGGGAGATATGGACAAAACAGCCAAGATTACTACGGGAGTTTTACGCTCCTCCTGCAGGCATGCATTTGGTTAGAGTGTTGATGTCGCCTGTGTTTTTGGTACTGTTTTAAACTTGCATTCATTGCAATGGCCACAAAAAGTTGAAAAAATAAGCTGGAAAACTATGTTTTAAGACTTTATACTTTGTTACAGATACGGACATCTGGAGACTCGCTAGTAGTCATTCCTGTTACACTTTCTTAAAGTCCACCTACATTATGCTGCCTGGGTCGTGTGCATAGTTGGTGCATTGTACAGACACACAGCCATGCTGACCGTCAGCAAAGACCAAGTAAATGCTCAGCGTCTGAGGCAACGCTAGCAGGCTAAAGTATAAACCTTACTGTATGTGAAAATACCCCACTGCTCATTTGATACATCACCTCAGGAAACACTTGCCGGACGCATTTATAATCTCACTAACTAGTTTCACGTCTTATTAAATATAACATGACGTTCATTTTCTAATTTAGGGTCTCATTTAGAGGAAAAGAGACGGTACAGCTGGATAAGCTTCAGTTCGTGGCTACATTTTGATTGACTAGTCACTGCTGTATGTAATGTTTTTATTATACAGCTGGTATAAGGAACATATCTTATTCCTGCAGACATTCAACATAGTTTTCTTTTTCTCAGTTTTCAGATTAGAGGTAATATCAGATGTTTTTACTACTCTGTGTTTCAACTTTAGCTTTTTTTAAACTAAACCCATAACCTGTTTTACTAAATTAAAAAAAAAGCTTGAATACACTGATGTCATTTGTAAACTAGGGCTGCCACAAACTATTACTTTGATAGTCGACTAGTCACCGATTATTTTTGCGATTAGTCGACTAATCAGATCATCATCCATTGGATGTAAAACTACAGCTTATTGCACCAGCAGCATCTGCTCTTATATAACTATCATTAGCTTACAGCTTTAAGTGTTTAAGGTCTGTGCTAACTAAAAATAAAGATAGTTTATTAAATTTTAATGAAATTTGCAGATTGTTTCGGTGAAGTTTAATAAACTCCTTCTATCTAAAATATAACAGGACACCGGAGTAAATTCT